ACAACCAGCTGATATCTTTACTAAAGCTCTTGGACGTGATCAGTTTGAGTATTTACGGTCCAAGTTGGGCGTTCATGACTTACACGCTCCACCTTGAGGGGGAGTGTTACGGAAAGGATGTTTTCCTATTGTTTAGTTAGTGAATATTCTATACTTGTGTATCAAGTCTAATGTAACTATATATACTTTGTACCTATCAATAATAAACACAACACATTCTCTGAGATTTACATTAAAGCGGGGAATCTTGTATCTTTTATTATTATTGTTGAGGGAAAGAATAAGATAATTCATGAACCATGTGATGCCCATGTTTTTATTCATGAACCTTCTTTATATTAACACTAGTATATGCCATCGTCGAGTATTTTATTTTATATGTAATATGCATTGATCAATACTTAGCTTTTTAATTACATAGGATAATAACAACACGGACGTAAGGTTGAAAATTTCATACAGTATTTGGGTTATTGTTAAGTTGAGAAGAACCTACAATAATGTATTTGGTTGTAGTCTAGACTCGACGTCGCCATTGTAATCCAAAGACTATTTTCCTTGGTCACCTTCTTAAATAATCATTCCACGAAACACACAACACTAAAACATTGAAAAAAATATAAAAAATTCGGATGACCCAAAAACGGAGACTTAAAAACAAGTTTCCAAGCTAATCCATGCACGCATGCACTATTGAAAACCATGTGAGAGGGCCAAAAACATGGGCTCATGATTTCTTTAAAAAAAAATTTTGTTGAGGGCCCAATCTCGAGTGTATAATACATTTTGTTCTAGATCAGTGGCAATATTTTTTTCTTTTACTGCCTCATAAAATATACTATTAACTACAGTATAGTTTTTTTTTTGGTATGAATGTTAAGTTATATACTTTAACTATAGTTGTTTTTTTTAATGAATTGTTGTTTGTTCCATGAAGAATCATCTTTGATATGAATCCAAACAAACCTTTAAATGCTATCAGTCATCTATATTCACCCCCAATAAATATGACACCGAAATTGATCATAATCAATCATCTCTGATTCCTTTTGTGGGACAAGACAAGTAAGTAAGTAAAAGAGAAGCTGCACAATACGTGTGATTTGATTCCACAAAATTTGAAAACACTGTGGACATAAGGTGGGCCGTCATTGGGTAAGAGCTGGGCCCATAATGTACGCAAACCTGTCTGAAATCTAACTAGTAACTACTACTACTACTACTACTGTCTACAGGTATCTCAAAATTTTGATTCTCATTTAATATTTAGCATTTATTTCAGTGTTTTGTTTTGTTTAATCATCTTATGATTTCTTAGTTTGTTAAGTTTATACTTTGAGAGTGTCTAGTACTAGTAGTAATAGTGTGTCACGTTTCCAATATTTCCTTTATTTTCTAAACGCCGTCGTTTCAAATACTGCTTGTAGATGAAAGCCATATTTAATGGCTAATTTCATTAGTATACAATAATAATAAATTTGGAGAATATAAATTTGGAAGACAATACAGTAAGACCGCAGTCTTTTCTTCGTTCCCTACTAATTTTAATTAGTTAAATAAATAAATGGTTAGTTTTTTCGTACTTTTGACCTGTCTTGTAATTAAAATTAAAATTAAAAAAAAATATAACAAATAAAAATAGGAAAAAGGTAAGAACGCAGGTCAGCGAGTTGGACTCATCAGAGGCTTTAGAGAGAATCATAGAAGAAAACGCGAAGACGAAGTTATTTTTGCTGAGCCACAGAGGGAGAGAGAGCTGAAGAAGAAGAAGAAGAAGAAGAAGAATCCTTGAATATTGGGATTTTTTTTCATTTCCTTTAATGGAAGGTTCGTGCCTTTTGTTCTATCATTTTTAGCTCTTTTCAGTTTTTTTTCTTTCTTCCCCCTCGTCTGAGGAAAAAACCCTAGATTTTCCCAGACTTGAATTTGCTTCTCTAGAATTGGATTTCACACTAATTTAATAAAATCCACACTTGTAGATCGTGTTCTTCGAATCAGCATTATCGTCGCGAGATTGTCTCTGCCCTAAATCTGAATTCTACGGTTGATAATTACACAGTTTATGAGAGACTCGAATTAGGGATTATATGTTTCTTATTGGCAATGAAATGAATTTATACGACATTGAGAGTACTTGGTGTGTGTGTACTGTCCACTTATTTCAGTTTGAAATCTTAGATTGTTCATTCTCATTCTCTGCTTTTAGATTGAATCTGACTTCTCTAGAAAAAACCAATATAGCAACGTTTGTGCAAACATATTCTCAAGTGTTTTGTTTTGTCTTTGTTACAGGTAAATCTCCAGACCTGGAATCTATCGGGTCTGGTACAACTACAAAGCGTTCTAGTGTTTCTAGTCGATCTCGTACCCGCAGAGACTTCCTTGCCAGATTTACCGATTGTGACCATTTCACGGAAAAGCTTCAAGATTGGTTTGCTTTGACCTTGGAAAACTCTGGGGGCAATGGTCCGGTCTTTGAGGTTCCTTTTGAGCTTGTTGAGCTTCAAAAGTTTGATTATGCATTGGAAGGGATTTCTTTTCAGCAGCTTACCCGAATGCCTAACGCGGTCTACGCTTCTACATCTACCGCTGTGGAGGCAAAGGCGTATCTAGCCATAGAGGATTTCTTACACGCGACTGTCAAGAGCTTGTGGGAGGCATTTTGGAGTCAGGACGAGCCTGTTCCTTTCTCTGTTGGCTGTCTATACAACCAGAATCTCAAGTTTTATCAGGCTGAGAGAGCTCTAGCTATTGGGAAGCTTGAAGGTCTTTCTGGTACAGGTATTTTGCTGAAAAATCCTCGACATCTTCACGGGAAATGGGATCACATCCTTGAACTTGCTCTTCTGAGGCCTGACATAGGAAGCTTTGCACAGGACAGTGATCGTCCGCCTTCCTTACCTGTCTTGGGCGAGGCTCTTTTCTATGCTCTCCGCATACTCATCGCAAGGAGTGTGAGCCGTTTAGATTTTTCTCCAAGCTCAAACTGTGTCTTCATTCTTCTCGTTGATTCGCAATATGGGGGTGTTGTTAAAGTCGAAGGGGACGTAAATAAATTGGATTTCGACTTGAACAATGTTTATGAGTGCGCAGCAGACTGGATAAAGAAGCATTCCAAGATAGCAGTGTCACCAGTTGACAGAATATGGAACAAGCTGGGAAATGCCAACTGGGGAGACATCGGTGCTTTACAAGTAGTCTTTGCCACTTACCACAGTATAATGCAGTACTTTGGTCCCCCCAGGCATTCTATTGAAGACTTAGCCGCTGACCATAGTTCTCGCCTTCACTCAAGACGTCAGGAAAGGCAGTTGGGGGATACTAGTCTCAATGACAATGGTACGTTCAGGTTCCAGCAAAGTACCATGTCTCCTGAAATTGTCGAAGTCCAAGAAGAATCAACCAAAATTGAGCCTGAACCATCAATGAAACTGGAAGTTGGATCGGTTCTGTGGTTGGAGGATTCAAACTTTCAAAAAGGCTATCAGATTAACGAAATATTGACTAATGGTACGCTCCCTTATCATATCGCATCACCAGTGGACGATGCAGGGAAGTCTGTGTTCCTGTATGTTGGTTCCCCTCCTTCACAGCTTGAGCCAGCTTGGGAAGACATGAACTTGTGGTATCAGGTCCAAAGACAAACTAAGATATTAAGTATTATGAAACAGAGAGGACTGTCTAGCAAATACTTGCCGCAGCTCCATGGGTCTGGTCGGATCCTTCACCCAGGCCAATGTCAAAAACCAAGTTCAGGTGGACGATGCGATCATCCTTGGTGTGGAACTCCCATTCTTGTGACCACTCCGGTTGGTGAGACAGTAGCTGACTTGGTAAATGAGGGCCGGTTTGGTCCAGAAGAAGCTATTCGATGTTGCCATGATTGCTTATCTGCACTTTCTTCCTCCTCTTCAGTTGGGATTCGCCACGGTGATATCCGCCCAGAGAATGTAGTTTATGTCACTTCGGGTGTAAGACATCCTTACTTTGTACTTATTGGTTGGGGTCACGCAGTGCTTGAGGATAGAGATCGACCCGCAATGAATCTTCATTTCTCCTCGACTTACGCACTCCAGGAAGGGAAACTATGTGCGGCCTCGGATGCAGAGAGCTTGATTTACATGCTTTATTTCTGTTCTGGAGACTTCCCTGAATTGGATTCTGTTGAAGGAGCTCTCCAATGGAGAGAGACCTCGTGGTCAAAAAGATTGATTCAGCAGAAGCTCGGCGATGTCTCAACCATTTTAAAAGCGTTTTCTGACTACGTTGACAGTTTATGTGGGACACCATATCCATTAGATTACGACATCTGGTTAAGAAGATTGAAGAGGAATCTTTCAGAAGATCATGGGAAAGAAATTGAAACTTCAGGCTAAGCTCGTATCCAAGTAAAAATGGGGATTTTCTCCATCAATCTAGCCGCCATACCAAATAATAAAGGTCCTTATATATAAGCATTCGATTCCTTTTGAACATTCTTTCAGGTGCTCTCTCTGCTTAACCTGTCCGAGACTGGAAGCCTCAAGAAGAGACGTATCCTTCGGTTTTGCCAAGTCCGAAAAGTTTGGGACCTTGTTCTGTTCTTGTTCTTGTACATGATCTTTGGAATGGATTAGATTATGCGTCTCTCCCTTCTCTGTTAATGTTCTGTTCCTTTTCTTCATTATTATTATTATTATGATCTTGAGAGTGATTCTCTATTTATTTATTGTAAAGGTGAGAGCTTTTGTTCCCATTTTGACTTGTGTTTTTACGGGGTTTCCCCCTCCATTTTCTGTGATTTCTTAACCTGAATCCAACAATGATTCTGTCTCGTCTCCGTTATATTATTTTCGCCTAGTCAAGAAATCAAGAATAAAGTGAAGGGACAAACAAGAAAGAGAAAGAGACTGTTTTGAATAGCCCTGTGATGATGCAAGAAACTCACGCCGCAATGTACTGCTCTTGATTCTTCTACCACCCTTTTTTTTACTCAGAGTCGAAAAAGTTTACTCGTTGTAGACAAAAAGCGTATGGGTTTAGAAATAAAGAGAGTATTGTTTACACAAGTAATCAAGCATTTTTCACAGGCGCAAAGATTCTGAAAAAGATCTATGTGTTTTGTTGTTGTCCTACCTCGATCTCACATCAACACTCGAGTTTCTTGTTATATACGAAGGTTCTTGAATCCCAGGGATGCAAAACGTCTCTGTGGTTCCTTCACCAAAACCTTTCTTCTTGACAGTTTCTTCGATGTTGCTGTTGTCATACTCCAGTGTCTGGAGCCGCAAACCACCCTTGCTGTTTCTGCAACCGCCGATTTCCATTTCCATATCATATTTGTCTCCTCGGGGTCCAAATGTTCGGTCTAGCTCAGATGCAATGGATCCAACCTCTACGTCAGCTTCATCTGGAGCCCAGTCTCTGAAGTTGATCATAGGAGGTGGAATTCTGGCAAAGAACAACTCATATAGGTTCTTGAAGAGACCCTTTCCGTAAGGGTTCTCTTTCTTGTCATACCGGTACCGGAAATTCTCATAAGTTGTCTGCAAAACAGTAATAGAAGAGTCAAAATTACATGGGAACTAAACAAACGAATTTGCAAAGACATAACACCAAACAGAGCAGCAAGATTCAAATAGAAAGGTTAAGGATCTTGCCTGATTGGTGCAGATGAGGTAGAGGTGGAATACAGTAAGCCCGCCCACAAACCAGACAACGACGAAGCAGTAGAGGATGAGAACAACAAATACGAAGTCGTTTGTGATGACCATCAGCAGCATCTTGCCGTGTACCTCAAGCATACTGACCCATGAGAAGACAAAAACGTACAAGCAGAGGAATGTTGAAGTTGATATGAAACAGATGAAGTATGGATAGTTTCGCTGCAAAGACCGCCGTTTATAAATCAGAGATCCTACTTACACTTTTTGTTTTAGGAGATTCAAAAGAAAAGTTTTTTTTTTTTTTGGAAGACTTACTAAAGCGATGCATTGGCCAACCCAAGGACAGTGGTGATCAAATCTTTGGACACAGTTGTTACAGATGGAACAGTGAGAGGCGCGAGGAGGACGGTAAAGCAAACATGTATCACAAAATTTAACTTTGACAGTGTAGCCATTCACCAGTATATCTTTGGTTCGAGGTATCTTTGTATTACCAAGTTTGTTGTTTACCCATTCTGAGGATTGAGTGACCATGTCATACCCTTCTGCTTCGGGTGCTTCTTTGTTTCTAGGGATAATCCCGGGGTCTCTCGACGATGTTAAGAAGAGAAATGTGAAATCCTGCAAAGAAGATGCATGAATATGCAGAAAGGGCAACATATATAGCTCAAAAATAAAGAAGCGTTTTATATGGTTTTACCAAGACTGTTAGCAACAGTGCACCCAACAATACAAGAGAGTGGAACAACGGATAACGTTTCCCGATCATAAAAGCCATTCGGATGCAGAAAGTGAGAGCAGGACCTCCAATCATAGCAGTACTCAGAAGGAGCGAAGATGCATCTGGACCAAAGACTAGTCTCCCTCCGCAATAAAATTTCTGACCATAAAACAAAGAAACAGGACAAGTCATCAAGGTGGTTCAGACATTAACAGATCAGGGGTTTAGTATCAAATCTCTTCATAACATGATATGTTGTGTCAGGATATTACAAAAACCCTTGTGTTTGTCAAATACAAAAACAACACAAATTGTTTATTATAGTGAGAAAGAAAGAAAAAGACTTACATTGTTACCAGGCCAGAGTTGGTAGATCCTCTTGGGTTTATGATGATCGTGAGAAAACATAGTTTCATCGTCGGAAGGAGCACTATGAACATGACAACTTTTCTTCCTCCCCATCACCATTCACCAATATCTTCTTCTTCTTCTTCTTCTTATTCTGGTTCCTCAAGCCTTAAGCCTCAGAATCAACGACGAGACGACCAAAACTTAATCTCCATGGTCTGCTTATCGTGTCGTCGTTGTTGCGGCCAGCGAAGGAAACCGGAGATTTCAAATCGCTGCCGCCGGGCTTTTGGCTTCTTTTTCCCTCCTCGTCGGAAAACTCTCTATCTCTATGGCCTCTTCCGCTCTCTTTCTTGCTAATTAAGGTTTTGTGTCAAAGAGTTGTTTCTCTCTCTTCCCCTTAAAGCTTTCTCCTCCGCAATTGGAAGTTCGTCAACACCATCTTCTCTGGAACATCCTTAACATAGCAAATCTTGCCATCACAGCAATTTTTCTCCTTATTTTTCTCGCTACCTTTCCAAGAACCCTAATTATCATTACTTCTCCCGCACGCGCCATTTTCTGTTTCAACCATCAATCAACCCCTAACTTCACAACGTGCGCTTACGTGTCTTTAAAACTATGGATGTTCTATGGTCTCTTTTTTTTTTTTCACTTTGTAATTTTGTATTGACTTGTGTGCAAACATTGTGACAGTTCATATACTTGGCACCCAACTTTTTTAACAATCGTCATATCCTAACCTAGTTTAATATTTGATAGAGTGGATTCACATATTAATATAAATATACAAAGAGGGTGCAAACATATGAAAAGCGCAACGAGAAAAATAAAGCAGCTTTCTCATTATATAGATTTCAAAAAATTAACTAAACATGGGTAAAACAAATCATAAAATTAACTATATACTATCCCACCAATTACGTTAAAACATAATTACTAATTAGGTACAAAGATGCCTATTCTATGTTATAACAAGATCATATATCTTACTTGCCACAACTAATATGATCCTATATACGTATATCTATAATAACTACAGCATATAAAGACGAATTCTTAATAATATCAATCAATATTAATCACTGAGATTTTGTCTAATACACATATGCAAGTAATTAATTGAATAGATACATCCTTGATCTTCTTTGGCGTGTGACTGTGTGTATATATATATAATCATTAGTCCACACAAAGAAGAAGAACAAAGTGAAGAGATTATTAGAAAAAATGGCTATCACCTCGAAAAGTTTAATTTCATTTGTTTTCACTGTCATCCTCATCGTATCTTATGTTAATTGTCGTATGACAACTGCTGCTAGTAACCCTGCTGGTACGTATATAGGTTTATTCTTATATTTTAATTTTTTAATTGTGAACAAAAAGTTGTTATGTTTCAGTGAAAGTATATATTATATTTGTATTGGGTTAATTATGATTTTTTAAAAATTAACAAAACGTTATTAATGTATAGGTTATAGAATAAAGCAGCAGAATAGACAATGCTTCGCGGCAGAAGGGTATTTATGTCGTCGTGGAGATGGCGGATGTAATACCTTTTGTCTAGATCATGGTTATGATTATGGCTTTTGTGTTTACGTGCATGGAACTAGTTGTTGTTGTCGGACATTCCAAAGTAACTTAATGTAATCAAATGTCTTTGTATTTGCTTCAACAAATAACATCGTTTATTATTTTTAAATGTTTGACTTATTTTGTTTATACATAAAATTCTAGGATAAAATAAATTAAATTCACTAAATCTAAATTTATTTGATTAAACTTGAGCAATAGCTTCTGCAATTTGAAAAAATAAACAAATTCTAAAGCAAAGTCAAAATACAACTTATAATGAAATGTAAAATAAACAGGAGTTTTTTCCAACACGTTTTAAAATTGTATATAACAAAAAATAACAGTAATATCACCTAATGTTTGAACGTAACTCACAAAAAAACTTTTTTTTTTTGTCAACATGAGTTTACAATAGAAAGGTTATGTTCTTTATCAAATTTTGACCAGGAAAAATATACCTTTTTATGGTAAAAAAAAAACTTATTTCTTCACATTACCTGACCAAATTTATTTAGTGGTTTCTTTATTCGGATTTATTTAGAATTTTATTGGACTTATTGGTAATGTTGTTGAAGAATTGACCGAGAGAAAAATCCTGACTTCAAATTTCTTTCATTTTATGAGGTTTTTATAAATTGCAAACAAGATGAAGAAGAATCATGTAAACAAAATAGTATATAAAAATAAACGACATGGGACAGATCTATGAAGTGTCTAATTAATAGTATATAAAAAAAATATTCAAAGAATCATTATCTTTTATTAATGTACACAAACATTTGGACAAATAAACAAATATTTGGACCGAATGGAAACAATGTACTGGTTGAAGCAGATTAAGCTGATTAGATAGATCGATCAAACATAACAAAAAACATATCATATATAATATAAGCAAACTACAATATAAGCATATCAAGTAGATCTGAGGGTATAAATACAAATGAAGCAGTTCATATGCAGTCTTGGGCGATCAATCAGTTTCTGTTTTCGAAGGTTCTACCACAATCTCGATCACATCTAATAGGAAGCAAATGAATTGTTTTAGTTATAATCTATATATATAAAGTTAGCTTTTCTCTCTTCTCATGCTGCCACCTAAGCATCCACATAAGCCACATTTTTGTTTTTACATTAAATAAATTTAAAACATTCACTTTGTGCATATTTATGTTACTTATTTAATTATTAGAAAGTTTATAAATAAAAATAAATTATGTAAATAAATGAAATGTGAAAATAAGAAAAAAATATTTTAATTTTTTTATTAGTGGTAATAATATAATAAAACAACATTTATGTAATTTTATATATAAAGTTTAAAAGAGGAAAACTAAAACTGAAAGTGAAATATTAGTTTATAACATGATCAAAAAGAAAAAAAGAATGACATTTCATAAATTGAATCAAATTTTTTAAATCCAAATTTGAGTATTGAAAGGTAATAATTAAACAGAAAATAATTATAATATATTTAAAAATCAATTAAAAAGACAATAAAATATCACAATATAAATGAAAAATTAACAAAAAAAAATTATAAACTTCCCGCGCGTAGCGCGGGTCAACTACTAGTAATTCATATACTTAAATAAGTTGAAAGATGATATTGTTTTGTTTTCAAAATTTGACCAGGAAAAATAGTACTTTTAGGTATGAATATAAAAAAAAATCGAGTGCAGTGAATTTTGACAATTACTTTGATTAAATTAGAGAAATAGCTATTGCAATTTGAACCAAATCTAAAAATCAAATTGAAAATACAGCTAATTGTTTATTACGAGAATATATTATTGGGCCTTGGCCCAGCTCAATACATTTAATATTAGCAAGTAAAAAATATAATATTTTTTTTAATCGGTGTGAAAGGAAGAGGCCATTGCAGCGCCACGAAGTCTCTTTCTTCATTCTATAGAAAACCGAGAGCTGATTCTTTACGATATCATTTTCATCTTCAATGTTACCCGGACGAGCTCAGATTCATACACACCACTCTCTCTATATGCGTATCTCTATACACAGGAGCACTCGCGGATCTCAATTTCAGGTGTTTGCGATTCCGATTTAGGTTCGATAGGTTCGATGGTGGATCATTACCAAGTTCTAGGCCTTGCGAGAAACGCGACGAAGAAAGAGGTTAAGGATGCGTTTCGGAGATTGGCGATAAAGTATCATCCTGATAAGCACGCGCAGTCTCCGGAGCACGTTCGGAGAAACGCCACCGTGCGATTTAAGCTTGTATCGGAGGCGTACGAAGTTTTGAACGACGATCTGAAACGCGCTTCTTATAACGCTGTTAGCGACTCCGATTGCTTTCGCCGCGGTTCGTATAGTAGTAATCCGTATGGGAATCGTAGTGGTAGAGCGTATGGCTCTGGCTATGGTTACGGTTATGGTTACTCTGCGAAGAATCGCCAGTCCTCTAGTTTCAGCAGCGGATTTGATATGACCTTTCGGTACTTGACTACACGCGCGTTTCTACTTAATCTCGCATTAGCTGGGTATGTGATAACTTCGTACTTCTGTCTTTTGGTTGATTGGTATCTGAATATTTGCTGTAATTGGCAAATTCCTTGCTCAATGTTGTATCCTTACTCAAGTGGTCTCTTGTGTTTGTTTCCAGTGGTTTGTACTTTGCATTTACTGCAATCGATACAAGCGGAGAAACACTATGGAAAATGCGTAACTCAGGGGTGAGTACCATATTATCCATCAATTCTCTCGCCTTTTAAGCTATTGGCTGTTTTTGTAATCTTGCATTCTTGCCTCTCTTTTTTCTTTTGTCATGTGATACACAAGCATTAGTGTCTATGCAAAATTCAACTGGGATTTTTTTCTTTGCCTGTTGCTGGATGGATCTTAGTGTATGTATACTCATATTTATAATAAGATTGAAGTTCTTGTGAACTAAATGTGCTTGATGATCATTTCTGTGCATCTAGTCTTGTGGTCATAGCTGTAACTAGTATAAACTAGTGTAGCAACTAGTGTTGTTTGGGTATTTGTTTTTCTTATCTGTCTTTTTAACAGAGCGAATAAATGACAATACTTTTGCATATTTTCAGAAATCATTCGAAGAAGCAATGGAATCAATCGAGAAATCAAAGGCACATAAGGATGAAGGGTGAAAGAGAGGAAGAGGACTCGAAGGTACTACTTTGACTTTGACTTTTAAGCTCTTTTGTGAGCTGCTTGATGAGTTGATGGGTTTGTGTGGGGCATTGCTAGCGACTCTTCTAGATTTCATTTTCGTAGGAAGAAGATGTGTCATTGTGCACATACGTATAGTTCAAAGTAAATAATATAGAAAAATAGCAAACTTGATTTTTTATAAATGAACCTATTAGAAGTTGAAACCCCCACCTTTTTTTTAATTTACCTTTCCTACCAAAGGATTGATCATTTATTTTTCTTGTTGGTATGCAAATCTCTTAACTTGGGCATAAAGAGACATATCTATAGTGTTATGTTAATTTATTTTCTCGTCACAGTTATTTATCTCTCCAGATATCTAAATATTATGAGAAAGTCCTGCTACAAGCAATTGTTTTTGAGTCTTTTGAGTTTCACAATGGCAAAGCAAAGATGGGGGATGTCCTGATATAAAAAATATATGTATTTATTGGGCTTGGAGACATTGTTGTATTAGTGGTCGTAACGTATTTGATTGTCTTATAGTATAAAAGATGCTGAGAAGATATTTTACCTTGCTCAGTTGAAATATCGAATGGATTATTATATATAGTTTTCTATATTTTCAACGGTGAGAATACTCCGACACAATGCGCATAATGAACTTTAGCTTCCGTTTTTATACCACCAACTAACCCACACAACTCAAGGACTTTGTCATATATTCAAATTTACTTTTAAGACATCAAGCTTGGCTGAATAATTTTTAAAATAGATAGATTTGTTGTGACTTATCCGCTAAACAGTTTAAAAGTCAATAGAACATAGATTCGATCCATTACATCGATAAACAAAAAAAACTATGAACAAGATTTGATTATTCATAAAGGTTGTTGATGCATAGAAAAAATCTATATATAAAAAAAAAAGTTATAACGAGTCACATAACTTTCCAAGATTCAAGCGTCGGAAAAGTTGAGTTAGTAGTATCAAACTCCACGGCCGCTGCAATAGACTTGGCTGATGATGGCAATCCTACGCCGCTGGTACCGGAATAGGTGTTCCCAACTGCGAGATTTTCCTGGTGATGGTTAGACAAAAATGCAGATGTATCAAGCATAGGAACCGCCGTGGATCGATCCGATGGGAGTTTGTCGACGATCCTAAGCGGCTCCGGCCTGACGATCGGAGCGAAAATCCCGTAAGAAGAAGAGTCGTGGGTGTAGTTGGCGCCGGTCACTTGCTGAACCATCTGGCGAAAGTTAGACGGATCCGCAGTTATGAAAGTAGTCTGAGATTTCTTGGAAGCGCGAGACTTGCGCTTGGTTGCTCTTCTACCTTCCCCAAGAAGGCAGTTACGTTTCCGTTTAGCTACTCCGCCGATGATATCTGGATCGGATCCACAGGCGGAGACGTTAGAGGAGAGAGTGTGAGTGGAAGAAGGGTGGGAGACGGCGGCGGAATCGAAGAAAGAGGAGGGAAGGAGTGGTGTGGCTGTCGATGATGATGTGACGGTGGTGTGAAGAGCTCTGGCGAGCAAATCGTCATCGTGAGAGAAAGAATCAGAAAGCAACCATGAATCGACGTTGAAACCTTGTCTATACAACCAAGAGTCGAGGTTCGTTAATTCGTCGGAAGTCACCATGTATAACCCACAGCTGAAGAAGAGTGATGAAGTAGTGGAAGAAAGAGAAGAAGAAGATGGGCTCAAAAGGTTTCTAGAGAGAGAGAGAGAGAGGTAAGAAATGAGAAATGGGGCCGAGGGAGGTGAAGGTTTTATAAGGACGGCGTCCGTCAAGACAAGAAGCGATGAGATGGAAACCGCGTTGAGCGGAGATAGATAGGTACACGTGTCTCAGTTTACTCGTACGGACACTTTTTTTGTTCTTGTGTTCAACGAGTGAGAGTTTTTGTCAGGTTGGATTCATAAAAACGTTGACTGGATGTATTAATATTTTTCCCACTATTAAATTTTATCTGTTTATTTTGTTATAAAATGGTTTCGTTTTTTTTTTTTGTGTGGTTAATGAAAAAATTCAGATATCAAAAAAAATAACTCGGACAAGAAGATACTGTACTTGCAATAATGATCCAATAGGAATATGTACATTCAAATTAGATGCAATCAATCAATCCAAATATATATTTATCCCCAATAATCGACGCGTAGAGATAAAGGTAGACATGCAAAATAACCAAAAATACAAAAAGAAGGTCAATTTCCAACGGCTGATTCATTCTAATGCCTCGAATTAAAATGCTTTGTTGTTGCTCAATAGCATTGCACACCAAAGAAGAAAGAGAATTTTTAAAAAAATACTACTTCAATAGAAGAATGAATGTCTCGTTTTCAGCTTATTCGGCCTTTCTTTTGTTTACCCTGACCTGAACGTCCCTTTTGTGGCTTTAATTAAGCCTTTTCACAAAGTGATTTTACCTTTTTGATTATAAAAAAAGAAAATACTTAATCTAAGTTTTTACTACTACATACTTGGTGGTTACTAAGCGTCAACATAATTTTGAGGTCTATGACATGTTTTTCTTTCTTCTTCCATGTGACTTAAAACAGTTTATTTCGTTTTTACTTTCATAGGAAAAATATATACATGAAAGTACGTATTTCGTACCACTTGTGTTATGTAAAATTGTGTTGACCCGTTTTAGATTAACCTTCTTTTTCTATTATTTCTTTTGGCGTCGCCATCGTCATTACTCATACTCACTATCTTCCTTTATTCAACTCGGAAATATAAATAAAATTCGCAATATACAACTCTGTCCGACAAAGTCTTCTTCATGTAAATTGGTTGTAGTATCAGTCTATTAGATAGTTGCTGTTTCTGTGATATATATTCAAAATTCCATGTAATCCCAAATAACTATACTGTGTACTTTATATGATTAGTTTTCAACGCGTTAAAAATGATTATGCGTTTGAAATAGTGAAGATGAAATCCATTCAAAGCAGGCCATATATATATTTATTTTCGTTTTGTGTATGATTTATAACTAAAAATGTTGAAAATCGTTTTTTTTATAGAGATTGTTTCACCTCTCAACTTCATATATATAATCAACTTTATCAATTGTAGTAGATCGTTCCACTAATTAATCCACTATATCGCTTTATTGAAATTTGTAACCACAAAAGTACTATATCACCAAATTATTTTGTACATGTCATCGACTTTTATCCTACTAATTAATTGAATAATCCACCCCCTATATATATATTCAGTAGATGAAAACTCGATCGATTGAACACCTCTGTACTAAAAGATATATTGGTTGATTAATATTTAACCTGTCATATAAAAACAATTTTGTAAAGGTTTACAAACACACAGTGACACAGATACACTACACATATATACCACTCAGCACACAGGATATAAGATAGTCAACTATTGACTCACACCGCTGGATTAGTAGTAGATTACCACTTGTACGAGTCGGCGACGTCTCGTCCTTGTTTATAACATGAAGAAGAAAAACACACACACATATACACCAATACTTACAATTTCTTTCTTTCTTACGTTGTAGTGTTTACGTGATATCAACTTTTAGCACATTAATTATACATTGACGAGACGACTCACCTCAGCTATGCTGGTTCATCATTAGTTTGGTATACTATAGTAGTATTACATAAGCATAAGCATAAGCAAATGTTAATATTCTCGGTTGGAAATTTCTATAAAAATAGTATTTCTCAAAGACTAGTCCAAAAGAAGAAGAAAAAACGTATTAATTCTTATTATTAATCAAATAGAAGAAGAACAAAGTCAATAGACGCCAGCTGTGACGTGAGCTACTTATTATACGATGTAATCATGATGGTCTAATGACGAGACCGGAGAAGCTTAAGCTAAAGCGGTCGTCGTGTCTCGTGTGTGTCCTTTTTTTTCTTTTTTCACCACCGAAAGCTTTTCTCATTATTTTAGTTCCCAAGTGTACAACTAACTGACTGACACTCCTGTCTTGTCAGCCTCCCATGTTTCTTCCTACGGGTCGGCTTCGACTCCATTATCATAGATTCCTTCGTTTTTCCACCAACTTGAGAGTTTTCTTACCGATTCATTATTTCAGACTTCCCAAAATAATAATAGTCTTATTAATTAATCCCCAGTTGATTATAGTAAGCTTATATACACTAGGAAAGGAAAAACCAAACCCATTGTATAGTTATTGATTTTAGATTTGCATTGTGTCAATAATTTCTTAATAATATTACTCGTTTTACGTATATAACTGAGGACCGTTATCTAAAATATGGGCCTTTTAAATATGGTCCTTATTATATGGGCCTAATTACTTAAAGATGGGCTTAAATGAAGCTAGGGCTCGGATCCCCCTCTCTGCGACTCTCGCAATTTCTCTCGTACTGGGTTTGTTGAATTTGATCGGTGGTAATCGGAAAGTAAATTACGTTGAAGCTCTCAGTGTAGAGGATTCGGGAGGTTAACGTTGAACTGAATAATGGAAGGGGAAGAGCTGCAACGTCATCAGAATGGTTCTTCTGTTCATAACCAGACAATTAGTTATGGTTATGGAAGCTCGCTTTCCTACGATCAATCTCAAGACATTGAATCTGCCGCAAGCAATGCTCTTCTCCGAGAACAAGTATGTATCATATTTTGATTTATGCGATTAAGTTTCTATTTTTTTTTTGTTCCAGGACGTGGCTGAAGGTAACCAAGTTGATTCGTTGTTGTGAATTTTTCAGGAAATTGAAACGCAGAAGATTATACAAGGTCAAAGGTTCTGTCTTTCTTCTTGGTTTGTTCTTTGTATCCATCTATTATATACATATATCTGAGCATCCTGCTCTTCTTATCCATGGGCAATTCAAAATTTCGTGTCTTTAGTCGGTTTGTGTTTTAATTGGAAATTTTCCCCTATTTCAGAGAAGCTGGGTCTTCAGTAGCTGGTGACTCTGAGCATAACACTGATATTCTTCGATATCGTACTGACCCCAATGCTCTGAAGGTGTCTCATTTACTATTTTATTTAATCCTCAAGTGGCTAATAGCTTAATTAGTCTATAGCATTCATCACATAAAGTTTTACACAAATTCGTTTATGCAGGAACATTTGCTAAAGTTCACTGCAAATCATAGAGCAGAAACAGCTGCAAAGCGTGGTGGGAGTGTGAGTACATGCGGAGAAGGTTAGTTATAGTTCATGAGCTCGGGCATTTAGGAAAATTCACTAAACCTGTCCAATTAACGACTTTTATCCATACTAGGTAATGTGGATGTTGGAAACGGTTATGGTATTCCGGGTGGAGTTGCCTACGCGGGTCACTCCGAGCTCAGTGGGAAGCCTGAACCTATTAATGCTTCAAACAATTTGCCTGAATATCTCAAACAAAAATTGAAGGCCAGGGGAATTCTTAGAGATGGTACAGGGGCGGCTACATCCAACACACAAGATGTAAATATCCATCTCTCTCACTGTAATCGTTGGCAGCATATATCTGTTATCACTTGACCATGTTTCAACCCTTTTGTTTCAATCTTTGTTATTCTTGTTGTTGACATTTTGACGTATTTGTTTGCTTGTGATTCTTCTCTTTTCCAGACATCAGCGGTTAGTTGGAATAGACAGGCAAATTTACCTTTTCCGACAAATGCAAGCACCTTACCATTAGGATGGGTATGAATGAGTAAACTTAACATCTTATCTTCTTTGCTTCACTATAAACTGCTGCATACTGGGAAATTGTGTTGATTATTTGAAATTCTTCACATGCGTGTGATATTATATCTTATTGCTTAAATATGGCCGCTTATGGTTCTGATGATGTGTGTATTAGTGTTAACTGTTTGGACACCTAAACTTGTTCTGTTTTTATCAGGTAGATGCGAAAGATCCTGCTAGTGGTGCTACATATTACTATAACCAACATACCGGAACATGCCAGTGGGAAAGGCCTCTTGAGCTATCTTCCACCACACCATCTTTGCCTCCTAAAGAAGATTGGATTGAAACACTTGATGAAACCTCTGGTATGCTATTCACACATTTAGTCATCCTTATGACTATCTCTTGTCTAAAATATGCATATCCACGATTATAAAAGGTTAATATGATTCTCCTTTTAAATGAATTTTATAACGATCTTTATCACAGTGGAAAGAACCTACATCATCACATGTTAGAAAATAGGAATGAGGAATCCATATTTTTAATGCTGGAAATTTGTGCTCTCTTATTGACCAGCGTCTTATGATTTCTTTTGTACTGTACATTGTACTTGCAATGCTTGCTTAGTCTTTGGATCCGTTTTGGTTGCATCCCTGAACTTTAAACCTTTTGATTCCTAATGCACAGGCCGTAAGTATTACTACAATACTAGGACACATATGTCGCAGTGGGAACTTCCAAGTTCTTTTCAGAAGCCCGCTTCCACAAACTCTAACAACGCTGTCACGAAAAGTACTGCTACTGGGAACGGCGAGCATCCTCCAGATCAGCTGCCTAGATGCTATGGATGTGGAGGCTGGGGAGTAGGCCTTGTACAAAACTGGGGTTATTGTGTTCACTGTACCAGGTAGGAATCCTTCCATTTTCTCGCTATGTCTTTTGAGTAAGATTGATGCATAGTGACTGCTCGATTTGAGGCTTATGCCTCTCTGCCTTTGCTTAAGGGGACTCATAATATATTGAATGCAGAGTTCTCAATCTCCCAGAACGTCAATACTTGCCAGCAAGTTTAAACAACCTCAAAAAAGCTGGAGATTCTGTCCAAAAGGATCCAAATCAGAGGTAATCTCTCTTAATTTTAGTACTAGGATAAAGATCCTTTCTGGTCTGTCATCTTTCTTAGAAACCGAGTGTGTCAATGTGTCATTAGAGAACGATCATTGACTCTTGTTCATTAGAGAACGATTGTTTGACTCTTGTCCTCTTATCTAGACAACTCATTTGGATATAAATGTTCTCTCAGTCCCTCTTTTCGGAAAGTCAGAATCTCTGTTAGAAAGTGTACCAATTATCAACATAAAGTAAGGATGGAACACATTACATGTAGTAGTGAACCAGGAGGTTTCCATGTGCTAGGTTTACATTTTACTTTTGTAATATACAACTTACACTTGACGCAAAAATGAAAATGGTTGAAGCAGGTCCAGTTCAAAACCTCCCATAAAAAAGGGATTAGGCAAAAAACGTGCTCATGCCGAGGACGATGAGTTGGATCCAATGGACCCAAGCTCTTACTCAGATGCTCCACGGGGTGGCTGGTAATGTCCATAACACCCATTTTAACCACTTTAAATCGCCATGACTTATATTCTGTTGTTTATCTTTCTATCTCTGCTACTTCATCTGAACTGAGGAGAAATACATACCAAATGTCAAACTAAGCGAATTATACACCATAGGAATCACATAACATCAGGTTAATCTGATTCCTTCGCATCTTGCAGGGTTGTTGGACTGAAAGGAGTACAACCAAGAGCCGCTGATACAACTGCCACGGTAATGCCCGTTGACTTTTGAGACTGTGGTTCTACATGAATTCCAAATAACTTGGTTATACTGACCTCACTAACTTCATGATGACAAAATTTAATTCCTAACTTAGTGAGATGGATCTGTGTTGCAGGGTCCTCTGTTTCAACAGAGACCATATCCATCACCTGGAGCTGTTCTGAGGAGAAACGCAGAGGTGGCATCATCGCAGAAGAAGAAACCAAACTCTCAATTTACGGAAATCACAAAGAGAGGCGATGGAAGTGATGGTCTTGGGGATGCAGATTGAGAGCACGACTCATTGTTTAAGATGGATTTTACCTGTCTTCTTCTGCTTTGTCTCTATCTTTCTCCAGATATGATGTGGAGAGTAGGCTGTTTACTAGTTAATGAACACGAGCGGTAATCAATGTGAATTTAAGCACAGGGTTCAGTGTTATATGTATACATATAATCACCATCAATTACTTCAGTATCTTCCATCTTCAACACACTCCAAAACCAGGCTTTTGCAATCAAAAATGTTAAAAACGTTTCTCCTGATTCTCAAAGAGCAAACATGTTTTAGTAGTTAATTACTTTAATGCTATGAACAAACGTATTGGTTTTAGTTTGTCTAAGGATCGAAAGATAGAAATGTTGTGACTTGTGAGTAAAGAAGCCATTCGATCATGTGGATCCAGTTCAACCAAGTGATAAGAAAGTATGAATGGTGAAAACGAGAAGTGTGCGTGCGTCTTTTATTTCGGCTTAAAAACATAACTTAAAATTCGGACAACACACATTTATTGCTTCAGATTTTGTTACAGGAAAAGTAGAACTGTCTGAGAACAAAAAGTTGATTCCGTATAAATTGAGCCGAATCATCTCTCTCTCTCGTTCTGCTCGTTGATTCGAAGCTCCACTTCTCTGCTCTAATGGCGATGGCCGCACTAACAGCTTCTTCTTCTTCTTCTTCGTCTGCTATAACTCTCCTCAACAAGCCTTTCTTACCTAACCGCTCTTCTTTCTTCTCCTCTAATCCACACTCTCCGATTCTCCGATTCTCTGCTTCTGCCTCTGTTCGTCCCCGTTTCACATCTGCCGCCATAAGCTCCGTTGCTCCCGAATCGGTGCGTTCTGCTTCTTGTCCTTTTTCTTTTCTTTAGCTGATTTGGTTTTGCAAGTTTGTAGCTCAATCGATATAATCCTGCTTCAATGGTATTAGCAGGACTTGAATAAAAGTGAAACTCCAAAGATTGAAATAGAGGAGACTCAAGTATTCGCGTGTCCTGTTTGCTATGAACCACTTATGAGGAAAGGACCTTCAGGTATTAACCTGTAAGTTCTTTTTCTTTTCCTCTTCACATTCTTAATAATTATATAGTTTGCTTCTTTCTTTTATCTATGTTTCTCTAAAGCTTCTTTTTGTGAATCTGCAGACAAGCAATCTACAGGTCTGGATTCAAGTGTGGACAGTGTAACAAGACATACTCTAGCAAAGATGAATACTTGGATTTAACTGTCACCGCTGATTTGGATGATTATAATGAAGTCAAACCCATTACTACCGAGCTCTTTAGGTACATCTTTTTTTTTATTTACCTCCACTAACCATCTCTCCTGGTTCTGTTAGTCTTATGTGAGCCTTTTTTGTATGTGAGTAGGAGTCCATTGGTATCATTTTTGTATGAAAGAGGTTGGCGGCAAAACTTTCAGCGAAGTGGTTTTCCCGGTCCAGATGAAGAGGTATCTGTATCTTTGGTCTTTATTTTGTTGATCTTGTTCTTTCCTCATGGTCTTAATACTTTGAAAATGCAGTTTAGAATGGCTGAGGAATACTTCAAAGAGGCAGAAGGTGGGGTTCTTGTGGATGTTAGTTGTGGAAGCGGTTTGTTTTCGCGGAAATTTGCAAAGTCTGGGAAATACTCTGGCGTGATTGCTCTCGACTATTCTGAAAACATGCTTCGTCAGTGCAAAGAATTCATCAAAAACGATAATACTTTTGACAACTCAACTAACATAGCGGTTGTGAGAGCAGACGTTGCTCGCCTCCCTTTCCCTTCGGGTTCTGTCGATGCTGTTCATGCTGGTGCAGCCTTGCATTGTTGGCCTTCTCCTACAAATGCTGTAAGTTCTTGAATTCTCCACAGCTTGATAACCTTTTGCAAATGACAGACACTTGTTAAATTTTGTTCTGGTTGTTTTCAAGATTGCTGAGATCTGTCGTGTTCTAAGAAGCGGAGGTGTCTTTGTCGGGACAACTTTTCTGAGATACAGTCCTTCGACTCCTTGGATCATTCGTCCTTTCCAATCGGTAAAGAGAATTGTAATGATCTATAATGGCTATTCTATGCATAGATTTTGATCGTTATGAATTTTGCATTTTTGCAGAGAATTCTGCAGAGCTACAATTACTTGATGCAGGATGAGATCAAGGATGTGTGCACATCATGTGGTCTCACAGATTACGAAGAGTATATTAAGGATTCTTTTATTATGTTTACTGCTCGCAAGCCATAGAGAGACATCTCTTCATGTAACTGCATTTATATACACTGTAACAATTCAAAATTACAGTAATAAGCAAGTTGATGCGAGTGATTATTGTTCTTGTGACAATTGTTGAACAAGTAGATTAGACAGAGTGAGAAAAATCTGAGTTAGGTGAAATCATTTCTTAGAAGAAAACAAAAATGGAGATAGTCTTTCATATCTGAGTAGAAACAACTTTATATTATTAAAACTCACAAATCCAAGAGTAGTTTCATCAGCACAAAATTTTTAAACTAGACCCCGTTAAAGAAAGAAGACAAATAAATTGAGATTGAATCTTGCTGGTCAGATCAGATCAAAACTGTATCTGTTGGAAGCCTTGTGGGTGATAGTCACGCCTTAGACAGCTTCTGCGGTTTCATGGTTCTTCTTGTCAGCATCTTTGTTTTTGCGACAGCTGAAGTAGAAAAACTGAAGCAGTATCTGAAACAAAGAATAAAGCAAGTTAGAGCTCAGTGAAAAGAAAGGAAACAAAGATCAAGAAGTTGATGAGAGAGATTGTATACAAGAAAATCAAGCACAACACATCCTCCGGCATCAACAAGCCAAGGTAGATTAGGTGCAATTTTTAACCATTCCACACTGTTCACAAGAATGCTGCAGCCAAAACAGAAAAAGGAGTTATAAGGTTTTAGGAGTTCAACCAGAGATTCTTTAGAGAGTTAAAGTATTAAGATTGTTAATCTTCACCTTGCAACATAAGTCGTATTGCCAACTAATGCAAAGAAGAACATCAATGGATTCAATCCCTGCAATTTCAAAAGAAGAGCATCAAATGGATTCTTCAGATACAACATTTTTACTTGACTGTAGCCTTGCACCGTATTCATTATACTTGCTTACCTCCACATGTCCTCTCCTCATCTGCAAAAAAAAAAGATATCGGAAAGGAACTTTTGATTTAGCTAAAACTGTTATAAACAATAGCTCAGATGAATAAATTTGTTATAGACGATTCAAAAGCCTTTTACATTGAGACAGATTTGGGGAAGCCTTCCACCCATGTAAATGGCTGCCATTGCCCACCCCAAAAACATTCCAATTCTGCTGCTTTCTCCACCACCATGTTCTACTACATTGCCACCAGTGACCTGAAATAGAGCCAATAATATCTACATTAAGTTTTCTAGTTTAAGAAAGGGTAACCAGAAATTCCTTCGATATAAAAGATGGTATACACGAAATGCATAAATTATAATGCACCACTTATGAGTACCTGCAAAAGCTTTCTTGCTGCCTGAACTACAAACACTCTATCTCTCTCTCCCAAAGCCATAGTTCTTGATTCACTTAGCAAATTGGGAAGGTTGAATGTTCCGAGAAACATGAACGCAGAGACCTGTAAGAGAATAATCGAATGATATTCAACAAAGAAATCGCTAAGAATTGGTAAATCAACACCAGGCATTGTGAATAAGGCTAACCACGCATAGCATTGATTTGGTGGAAGGAGGCAGTGAAGGAGGTGTGGCATCCCCAGGAAGCAAGGGCTCTTCAAGAGTTGGTTCACTGTGACCACGAGCCATTCTCTGAGCTAAGACAGATCCAGCTGGTGGTGTATGACTACTCGACAAAGATCTTGCCGACCTGTCAGAATTAAAACGTGAAAAAGTCTTGCAACCTTTTAACAAATCTTTTGCTTAAATAAATATATTTCATCATAATGCAGAGTGGCCCGAGTAAAGAATCAAATGGCATCATTACGTGTAAAATAGTTCTCTTCCGGTAAAACTATTTCTATGACTCCCAGGAATCATAGTGATAGGTGTAGTATGACCGCCACAAGGAGCAGTATCAGAGCTATTTCTCCACCGGCCTGGAATTTTGGCATCACTGATTATGTTTGATATACGTTCTGCTTCAGCCTACACCAAGCATTCATACCCAAGCTGTTTTAGCATCTAAATAAAAAGGCCTCAAAACGAAAAAGTACACTGATCAAATAGCATACCATCTGATTTCTTCTGTTTTTCAACCGTGGATAGATATGACCGTAGTATATAGATTGAACAAAGAGAACTGATGTAGTAACTGTATACAACTGCAAATAAATCACCCGTATCAAGCAAAGATACAAAAAAAAAAATAGTAACCGTACAGCTGCTTCTAGTCTTTTGTAATATACCAGTGCCATGTAGAATTGTGTTGGAAGCTGCAAAAAAAGAAGTTTAAAAATTCAGAATTAACTAAACTACTCAAAGTGAGATAACAAGATTGAGAAGACTTGGATTCACTCACAGTAGCTGGTTCCATCAAGCAGCCAAGAAGATTGAAGATATCTCTACACCAAATTCAAAATTTTGCCAATTCCATTAAACCAAGGGATTGACATATCACTCAATGAACAAGCAGAAAGCAAAATCATTTGACATAGTTAGATAATAATCTCTTCTTACCCAATGATCCACGTCGTTAAGAAGGCAATAGAGAGACCTTCAGTGGATTTTTCACTGTAATTAGTCATAATCTGAGGTATCTCGGCAACACCCCAACTCACAACACTGATGACACCAAGGGAAAGTGACAATCCATCTCTAAAACTGCTGTGGAGAAACATCCTTCTTCACAGCCAAAAAAAAAAAACCAAACAAGTCCCTTATTAGTGAGCAAAAGATAACGTATTTTTTTATTGTGTAAAACACTAGAAAGAAACCTAGTGTTAGAAGACGAAAAGGAAAGGACTTTACACTAGAATGTCCACATTTTTAAGAAGGAAGAATAGGAAACATATTTCAAACAGTAGAAAACGAATCCTAGAGAATTAAAAAGTGTGGTCAAATAATTCACAAGCTAGGCTATTAGATTCAGAAACAAAAAGACCCCACAAACTGAATATTCCCCTAAAAAACCCAAATCATCCCAGGAATCAAGAGTCCTCCATTTAAAGCTAACAAAATCGGAAACGTTACACACACACAATCTGGTTTCGACATCCACATAATTAATGCACACCATTGTTAACATGTAAATATCCGGTTTCATGAAAAAAAAAGAAGAAAGGGACGACATCGATTCATTGATGCATTAACATAAGGAGAAACAAAAAAGATTGGTATTTCGTTTACAATCATCTATCTATCTATAAACACATGAATGGAAACCAAAGTTATTACCTTTTTCCAGAAGAAAAGGAGAAACCTGTGAAAATGAAATGATTCGATTCGACGGGTTTAGCTTCAAAGATTTATCCGCGAGATTTTTTGTTGTTTTTAAAAAAAAATAAAGGAGAGGCCTTTAAGCGTTTAAGATGTAGCTTTGGGTGGACTGCTTTTGTTTCTTATGGTGGCGATACCTCATGTCTTCCTTCTGGAATTCATCCTTCAATAGAGAGAGTTTTCTTTATTTCTTCTTCAAACTCCAAATATTGAAAACAAATATACTATTATTACATTTTCCTTTTCCGGGTTCTTATTTTAATTTTAGTTTTCTATATACATGAATATTTTTGCATTATTTTCTGGCTATAAAGAAGAGTATTATAGTGGATTTGGTTTCGATTTTAGTCTGATTCTGTTTGTTTTTGGAAATTATTGGCGATAATCTGAACGACAAAATAAAAGATACTCATCCTCCTTATACGAGCGGAAAACAATTTGGAAAATTTATTAGGAAGTGAATACAGACTTTTTGTAAATTTGGATTTAGGGACCAATTGAATTTATGCGGCAGGCTTTTTACCATAAAAACTTTGGTTTCAGTACAATCAATATTCGTGTAAGAGAAACACTCTATGTTCTCCAAACCATTTCAATTATACAAGTAAGTAAGTTTAGTAATATTATAACAAATAAATATAAATAAAAGTATATAATAAAGTTTTGAGTGGAAGAGAAAAGTTGACAACCAAACCAATTAGGAATTGCCCACCCAGTAGGCCACTCTCTCTCCCAGGAATCATTGCCAATATTGCCGGTTCAGTGAATCGTTCCGGTTCAGTTTATCCGCTCGATTGGAGAAATTAATCGATTTCAGATGAACCAAAAGTCACGGCGCGCTATATTATATGGGCCTCAAAAGTCCATCTATGTGACCTGATGATTTTAAGGCCCAATGAGCGTCTTATTATATTGTTTTCATTAAGACAAGAATAAATGCTTAACTGTCTTGTCTTCTTCTTCACACGGCCGCGAATCTATTCAAGCAGATTTGTATAGAAGGAGGAGATTGGAAAAACGAAAACAAAAACACAATCCAATTTTTTTTCTTGAGAAGAAGATCCAGGGATTACAAAACCCTAGAGGAATCTCTTCAAATCAACCTTAAAAACCACCTATTCGGCAATGACAAAGAAGAGAAAGCTCGAATCTGAACCCAATGAGTCGTCAGAGGCGATACAGAAGGCATGTGAAAAGGAGGAACCAGGAATCAGAAATGATGATAATCAAAGGGACGACGACGAAAAAGTAGAACAAGCCACACTAAAGGAAGAGGGAGCTCAAGATGCTGATATTACAGAAGCGGGGACGTTGTCAGGATCTAGGAATTCGATTAATGAGGATGATGAAGAAGGAGAGCCCATCGAGGATCTATTAGAGCCCTTCTCAAAGGATCAACTTTTGGTTCTTCTCAAGGAAGCTGCAGAGAGACATCGTGATGTAGCTGATCGAATCCGGATTGTAGCTGATGAGGATCCTGTTCATCGTAAGATCTTCGTTCACGGGTTAGGATGGGATACTAAAGCCGACGCACTTATCGAAGCTTTTAAACAGTACGGAGAGATCGAAGACTGCAAATGCGTGGTTGATAAGGTATCTGGGCAATCTAAAGGTTATGGCTTTATCCTCTTTAAGTCAAGGTCTGGTGCTCGTAACGCCCTTAAGCAGCCTCAGAAGAAGATTGGCACTCGTATGACTGCGTGTCAGCTGGCCTATTTAGGGCCTGTACAGGGGAACCCTGTTGCGACCCCTGCTCAGCATTTCAACCTTGAGAATGTTCAGAGGAAGATTTATGTTAGTAATGTTAGTGCAGACCTTGACCCGCACAAGTTGCTGGAGTTTTTCTCAAGATTTGGGGAGATAGAAGAAGGTCCTCTGGGGCTTGATAAAGCTACAGGGAAACCCAAAGGTTTCACTTTGTTTGTCTACAGATCCGCAGAAAGTGCCAAGAAGGCCTTGGAGGAGCCACATAAGACCTTTGAAGGCCATGTCTTGCATTGCCATAAAGCAAACGATGGGCCAAAACAGGGTAAGCAACATCAACAACATCATCATCATCACTATAATTCTCACAATCAAAATACTCGCTACCAAAGGAACGAAAACACTGGTTATGGTGCACCTGGTGGCCATGGACATTTCATAGCTGCTCATAACCAAGCTGCACAGGCGTTAAACCCTGCCATTGGTCATGCCCTTACAGCTTTGCTGGCATCTCAGGGTGCTGGATTGGGTTTGAACCAAGCATTTGGGCAGGCTTTGTTGGGGACATTAGGCACAGCTAGCCCAGGAGCTGCAGTCGAAATGCCAAGTGGCTATGGTACTCAGTCAAATATCGCACCTGGGGTCTATCCTGGGTATGGTGCCCAAGTCGGCTTTCAGGGCGGTTATCAGACTCAGCAACCTGGTCAGGGTGGTACTGGAAGAGGGCAGCATGGTGTTGGGTATGGTGGTCCTTACATGGGTCATTAGATGTAGCCGTTCAGGTATATATTTCATCTGTTTCATTCATCTTCGTTTGGTTCCGTTATGATATGACTCTTATATATCTTAAGACATGGCATTGCTGTCTTGTGACCATGGTTAACTCCATTATGTTAAGCTTTTTGCATTACAACATCATCGTTTTCAAAATTACTGTGACTTCTGTTTTGTTTCAGAAAGTGTTCGGTTTTGCACCCGTTTTGTAAAGGTCGTCTCTTATTTTCTCAATCCATTGTGCAGATATTCAAAAACAGTTCTTTTAATATTGGCATGGTGAATCTTCTGAAGTTATTAAGGAGCTGATGCAAATGGAGTTGTTTAGTTTTTGGATGAAATGTTACTCTTTTCGTGTCTTCAAAGGCCATGACTCTTCAAACCTTTCAAGAAGTTTTTGTTTTCCCCTACTTATTTTCCCAACTCATTTTATGATATCCCAAATACACTGCTCTATTTTACTAATATCGTCTCTATTTTGAGTATTTTGTTAACGTTTTCAATTGTAAAGCTTAATCACTCTGTTTGAATTCGTATTTTCCATTTTCTTTGTTCCCTCTTATGTTTGCGGTTTTGTGAGTTTTTTTCGCTGCACGTAATTCCTTTTGATATTTTGGTTTTGTTCTGTTACTCTGGAACCGTGTGAGAATATGTTTACACTTTCACTATAAATTTGTACATGATGTCTTATCTTGATTTCCACATATAATATTTGCTTAATCCTTATTCCTCTCGCAGGTAATTGCAGACTGAACCCAACCCTAACGTCCCTACAAAATTCTATGGGGTACCTGATATTTGAATGCTACTCATCTCTGCTTTATCCTTTACTGACAAGAGATGTTGTGAATGAATGAATTAGTGGTTTATAACTAAAAGATGTAGGCAATAGTTGTTTACTTGTTTAGGCTTCAGTAGGCATCTGGCTGAACCAAAAAAGCTCAACTTGTTTTGGCTCTGTGCTAAAACAGTTGAACAAGTCTATTTTTTCTAGCTTTTCCTGGTCGTGAAGTAGCATTTTGAATCTGTAGGTATGAATGTCCATCTTAGTTGACCACATCTCAACATATGTCCACTAATGTGTTTTAGTTAAATTTCGATCTGAGTTTAGTAACACAGCTGGAATTGGTGTTTTCTGTCGTATCGTGGAGCTCTGAACTGTCTTCCCAATAAACAGGTAAGTAAAACCGTTTAGCATTGTGAAGATTTGTATATAATCTTAGAACCATTGTCGAGGAAAGAAGCGTGTGGGTTCTATGATGATGTGAATTCTTACACAGAATTTGAGCTGTCTTTTTTTTGTTGTGTGTGTTGTATTGAATCATAGCTTCACGGGGGATAGGACCAGAATAAACTACTTGTCATTGACTAAAGCTAAAGTGCAGAGTTTCTCCCTAGTTGCCCACAAAATTAGTATTTCCTGAACGTAATTCTTTGGTTTGTTGCATTGAACTGATGAAACTTTTACAACACTTGATTCTTATGAGACCTGAGTTGCTACTGCAAAAAAAGAGTCTCTCTGTGACAGGATCAAAGGGCCACACGTGAATATGATTCGAGGGGATATCCCCTAAACAGTGGAGGAGAAAACTACAAAGGTAGAAGGAGAGTCATATGACATTTGATGTGTTGCATGATAAGAAGAAGAGAAGAGAAGAGAAGAGAGTAGTAAAGAAAGAGAAAAGGGGAAACAGAAACACGTGGGAGAACATCCCAAAGAGGAAGCACACGCGGATCTTCATGCAAAGCCCGATTCTCCCATGTGGTCCCTTCCTCCCTTTGTCCCCCCCTCCCCCTTTCTCCTTTCTTTTTCATTTTTACTCTGTTTTTACCATTACAACGAATCTTTTCCCTTTTTATCAAATTTGGTTTTATTTTTTAGTTTAACAAAACTTTCTTGGTTGCTTCCCACCTCTCTCTTTTCATATAACAAGCGCATTTTGGGAAACTTATGTTCGAGAAAGACAAGTCTTTTTAGAGAAAGTGATTTTTAACAAAGCTAAAGTGATTATATATAATAATATAAATAAAAACTACACAATGTCTTGAATATTTTGTTAGATACGAATATTTGTTCGCGAATAAACTTCCGTTTTAAAGTGTTTGTTCACAAGATAATAATAATACTTTCATATCTGATCATAAGTACGGAGACTACTGTTTTTTGTTTGTTTCTTTGTGATTATTATACTTCAAGAAAAGTAGCTTTTAATTGAAAAAGAAAATCCTCAAAGGCACAGTTTAAAGTTCGAGTGTAACAGTTTCAAAGGCAAAAGAAAAAAGTTCTTCTTACTCTTTCTCTTTCTACTATTTCTCTCCTGTGGAGAAACAAAGGCGAGAGATAGAGAGAAGAGAATGTATGTTTGGTTTTATAAACTCTCTGCTTTTACCACAGATTTGTCTCAGACCCACCACTTGGACACAGTTGGGTTCCTTTCTTTCTTTTCTCGATCTCCTCCTTCTTAATCTCCTTTTGTTTTTGAAACTTGAAGCCAGTTTCAACATCATTCTTAAATTCTCTTCACAGTCTCCAACCTCCTCTCCTTTCTCTAGTTTAGTTGTTATCTACAATTTTTAGCACTTTGTACACTGCATGCAAACTTCCCTGATTGTTTTGTTGGCTGTGATTATTGGAAATTCTCAGCTTCTAGGTGGTTAGTTCGAACCAAGGTTTACCTAGACACTGTTTTGTTTCTGTGTAACGGTTGTAAAAATGGGTTCTATTAGAGGAAACATTGAAGAGCCAATCTCTCAGTCATTAACTAGGCAGAACTCTCTCTATAGCTTAAAGCTCCATGAGGTTCAAACCCATTTAGGCAGTTCCGGAAAACCACTAGGAAGCATGAACCTTGATGAACTTCTCAAGACTGTCTTGTCACCAGCAGAGGAAGGGCTTGTTCGTCAGGGAAGCTTGACTTTGCCTAGAGATCTCAGTAAAAAGACAGTTGATGAGGTTTGGAGAGATATCCAACAAGACAAGAATGGAAACACTACTACTCATAAGCAGGCTACGCTGGGTGAAATCACACTTGAGGATTTGCTGTTGAAAGCTGGTGTAGTGACTGAGACTATAGTTCCTCAAGAAAATGTTGTGAACATAGCTTCGCATGGGCAATGGGTCGAGTATCATCAGCCTGGACAACAACAAGGGTTTATGTCATATCCGGTTTGTGAGATGCAAGAAATGGTGATGATGGGTGGATTGTCGGATACGCCACAAGCGCCTGGGAGGAAAAGAGTGGCTGGAGAGATTGTGGAGAAGACTGTTGAGAGGAGACAGAAGAGGATGATCAAGAACAGAGAATCTGCAGCACGTTCACGAGCTAGGAAACAGGTTGAGAACTTAAGTTTGTCTTTTAGTTAATGCTTGTTTGTTAGATGGTCTAGTAATCACATTGAAACTTGCAGGCTTATACTCATGAATTAGAGATCAAGGTTTCAAGGTTAGAAGAAGAGAATGAAAAACTTCGGAGGCTAAAGGTAAAAAGACCGTCTCTTGTTTCATCTAGTTTCGTTTATTGATTTAGTGTTTTTTTTTAATAGAAAATTTGGCTGTAATGGCAGGAAGCGGAGAGGATCCTCCCAAGTGAACCACCGCCGGATCCTAAGTGGAAGCTCCGGCGAACAAACTCTGCTTCTCTCTGATCTTAAAAGACTCTTTCTTTCTTTCTTTCTTTCTTTTCTTCTCCTTCTTCTTTGTGTTGGTTTATATCAGACAGCTCTGTTCTTTGTATATTCTGTAGACTTTATTGACGTTGAACAGTATGTCTTTAAATACATTTCTCAAGTGTAATTCCTTTTGCAGCTGGTTCAAACTTTTGAGTAGCCCTGGGACTTCGGTTATGTAGGGTTTTCGGTTTTTTTGAGTTTCGAAAATCTTGCCGAAATGTCGGTTTTAAATTTTCAAAACAAGGGTAAGATTTGAAATCAGATTAAAGTATCCAATGACTCTGTGCTTCTGAACCTTTTTGGAAGACTGGATGGGGGAAGCCATTTGGGACACTAGCATTGAGCAACAAGGGTAAATTTGTATACTCTTTTGGCTCTTACTTTTGAGCTATGGACACTGGTTTGAAGTCACAGGACTCAAGTGCCGATATTAGCTCTGTCTCTGTGGTACTGTACGTTGAGATTGTCCCTGGTCATGTTGTTCTTAAGCTGCCACATTGTGCTTGTCTTCAAGTTATGTTCTCCATCTAGTTTAACTATCTGAAATGTCACTAGACTTGTTTCTTCTAGACAATCATTATGCATCAGATCTTCCACAGGCGCTTCATTCCACATGAAAGGTGGTGAAACAGGATAGAATTCTCTGTTCTTTCCAACATTGCATCGAGAAAGTACAACACGCTTGTGAATCCCTCAAATCATTTTCCGCAAGCAATTTAGTTAGCTTTGATAACGTAAAACCAAAACCTCTAAAAGAAACAGAGTAGTTAATTTGTTTTTATTGAACAAAGGCCAAACACAAAACGTTGGCGTTTTAACAAAGAAGAAAACGGGCCAAGCGAATAACAAAACAAAGCCCAACAAGCTCATATGGGTCCCACGGTCATCTGCTTCAACGGCTAACCTTGTTTCAGGACAAAAGCAGAGGAAAGGAGAAGGAAGTTGTTCATGAAGCAGTCAGCAAGCTGCCAAATGAATAAAAGAATCATCAAGCTGTCAAATTAGAGACAGATTCCGTAATCATCTTTCACACGATAGATCAAGGGCTGCAAAACGGTTTGAAAGCTTGATGACATTTATTAAAAATGTAGGGATTGGTCCACTTATCCATCTAAAATTCCAAATGAAACCAACACTTCACACTTCACAGTTGATAATTCATAATTCCATTCTTTTGTAAAAAGAAAAAAAACAGTCGTTATTATGCCATTTAATAGTAACGAAACAAAACCATCCCAACCAACGAAAAATCAAACCGGGGATTAAGAGGGGAGGGACTCACTGGATAGAAAGAGTTGACCTAGCAGGTCAACCTGGCGCTAAAATTTAAAACTCAAATTGATAACATTCTCGTGATTACATCCCCAAACCGAGGATATAACCGACTTTTCATAATAATCCGGGTCAGTATAAAATGCCTCAAGTCCGCGCACAAATTGACTCACACACTCTTCATCTTTCCATTTTTCTTTTCTCTCATCACAGGAAAAAAAAAACAATGGGGGCTCAGACTACGTACGATCAGGTCACCGAGCTTTGCGAAGCCTTCAGTGCATTCGACGTGGATGGTGATGGTATGGTTTATCATCCCTTTCCTTTCCCTCTTATCGTAGATGTTTGGGTCCGTCTTAGATTTGCATATATATAGTTGTCATCTTCAAAAGCACTGATATGACTAACACACCAATCTTTGATTACTTTTTTTGTAGGTTGCATTACTGCGAAAGAGCTCGGAACCGTGATGCGTTCCCTGGGTCAAAACCCTACAAAAGCTGAGCTACAAGACTTGGTCAACGAAATGGATGCAGATGGTAACGGCACCATCGACTTCCTTGAGTTCTTATGCGCAATGATTGACACAGACTCTAAGGAAAAATTCATCAAAGCGATCAGCGTTGTGAGTCAGCTCACTGACGAGCAGCTCTCCGAGTTTAAGGAAACCTTCAGTGCATTCGACAAGGATGGTGATGGTAGGGTTCATCCATCCCTTTCCCTATTATCGTAGATGTTGGATCTTGATCAGTATCCCATTTGGTTTCTGCTTTATTTTTATGGCTTTAATTTTGATCAGTATCTATTATGGTGGTGACGGATCTATTTTTCCTAGTCTCCCTTTGACTCAGTTGTTCTAATCCTAGATTTGCATAGTGACTATCTTCAAAGCGCTGATATGAGTGACGACACCAATCCTTGATTACTTTTTGTAGGTTGCATTACCGCAAAAGAGTTCGTTACCATGCTGCGTTCCTTGGGTGAAGACAACACAGAAGCTGAGGTTCAGGACATGATCAACGAAGTGGATTTAGACGGTAACGGAACCATTGATTTCTTTGAGTTCTTGAGCATAATGGCTAGAAGCGTTGTGAATCAAGGTCAAGTGACTCGTAAAAGAGACAGAACTGTTTCCATCTTGAAGACCATAGGGAACTCCCTTAGCACCTTCAGTATCGTTGTCGACATCATTCAACTTTTGTTTTGAAATGGCACGTACGTCAGTAAAGTTATGCCATTAAGGCAATTCGATAAAGTTACTGTGTGTTACCATCTTCAGTTGTATTGAAAATGATTTGCATCCAAACTTCGTATCTCGTAATATGGTTTCATGAGTATGGAATATAATTGGTGTACCGCGTGTATCAATGTATGTTTTTGAAACACACACGTCTTCAGTATTCGATAACCCCAAGTGTTTGAGCAAAACAAAGAAACGCTCTTTGACCTAATTTGGACTACAGTGCACCCAAAACGTAATTGGGCTTTTCTCCGAATAATTTATTGGGCTTTTTAATACTGCCCAACTTAATTGTCCGCGTTTAATTTCGATTCGTTTCCTTCTTCTTCTTCTTCTTCTTCTTCTTCATCGACCTACATAGAGGAACCTTCCCTGAGAATCCATTTTGGAAGGAATCTCCAGTCTTTCAATAGTAAATGCATTGCTCAGTTTCCTCTGTTTTTCGTCCATTATCTTCAGATCCTGCAACAGCCATAGCCACTTTGTGCTCAAAAGGGAACCTCCGAGAAGCTTTCCAGAGATTCCGACTCAACATCTTCACAAACACTTCTCTCTTCACGCCTTTTATTCAATCATGCACCACAAGTCAATCTCTTCCGTCTGGAAAGCAGCTTCATGGCCTCCTCGTCGTCTCCGGATTCTCTTCCGACAAGTTCATATGCAATCACCTCATGAGCATGTACTCAAAGATTGGGGATTTTCCTTCAGCTGTCGCATTGTATGGCCGTATGCCTAAGAAGAATTACATGTCATCTAATATACTCATCTATGGGTATGTACGTGCTGGGGATTTGCCAAGTGCCCGGAAGGTGTTTGATGAAATGCCTGATAGAAAGCTCACTACTTGGAATGCCATGATCGCTGGATTGATCCATTCTGAGTATAACGAAGAGGGTTTAAGTTTATTTAGAGAAATGCACGGATTGGGGTTTTGTCCCGACGAATACACTCTTGGTAGTGTTTTTAGCGGATCTGCTGGGTTGCGGTCAGTGTCCATAGGGCAGCAGATTCATGGTTACACTATCAAATATGGGCTTGAGTTGGATTTAGTCGTTAATAGTTCTTTGGCTCATATGTATATGAGAAATGGGAAATTGCAAGATGGCGAAATTGTCATTAGATCAATGCCTGTTCGTAATTTGGTTGCATGGAATACACTCATCATGGGGAACGCTCAAAACGGATGTCCTGAAACCGTGCTTTATCTGTATAAGATTATGAAAATCTCAGGTTGTAGGCCTAACAAGATCACATTTGTAACTGTGCTCAGTTCTTGTTCTGACTTGGCGATTAGAGGTCAGGGTCAGCAGATTCATGCGGAAGCTATTAAGATCGGGGCTAGCTCTGTAGTAGCTGTGGTTAGTTCATTGATCAGTATGTATTCTAAATGTGGGTGTCTTGAAGATGCAGCTAAAGCTTTCTCAGAACGTATTGATGAAGATGAAGTGATGTGGAGCTCAATGATTTCTGCTTATGGGTTTCATGGACATGGCGATGAGGCAATCAAATTGTTTAATACAATGGTAGAGCAAACCGAGATGGAGATCAATGAGGTCGCGTTTCTAAACTTGCTTTATGCGTGTAGCCATTCTGGTTTAAGAGACAAAGGGCTTGAGTTGTTTGACATGATGGTGGAAAAATACGGGTTCAAGCCCGGTTTAAAACACTACACTTGTGTAGTGGATTTGCTCGGTCGTGCAGGCAGTTTGGATCAGGCCGAGGCAAAAATAAGGTCTATGCCAATAAAACCAGACACCATTATATGGAAAACACTATTATCTGCGTGTAACATACACAAAAACACAGAAATGGCACAGAGAGTCTTTCAAGAAATTCTTCAGATTGATCCTAATGACTCTGCTTGTTACGTCCTTCTTGCAAATGTTCACGCCTCAGCTAAGAGATGGCGCGATGTCTCTGAGGTAAGAAAATCAATGAGAGATAAGAATGTGAAGAAAGAAGCGGGAATAAGCTGGTTTGAACACAAAGGTGAAGTGCATCGGTTTAAGATGGGAGATCGTTCTCAACCTAAATCAAAAGAGATATACTCATACCTGAAAGAGCTGACTCTCGAGATGAAGTTGAAGGGATACAAGCCTGATACAGCTTCAGTGTTGCATGATATGGATGAGGAGGAGAAAGAATCAGACTTGGTGCAACACAGCGAGAAACTAGCAGTTGCATATGCGCTCATGATATTACCTGAAGGTGTACCTATTAGAATAATCAAAAACTTGCGGGTTTGCAGCGATTGCCATGTTGCTTTCAGATATATATCAGTGATCAAGAACCGAGAGATCACATTAAGAGATGGGAGTAGATTCCATCATTTCAGAAATGGAAAGTGTTCTTGCGCTGATTATTGGTAGATGGGCATGATGTGATGAAACCAGTTTAAGTATGCAATATGTGCTTCTGGACCTTTTTGGAGTGTCTAAGCACTCGGATTGGATCAAGAAGCCATTTGGGACGAAAGCAATTAGCAACAAGGGTAAATTTGTATACCTTTTGGCCCTTTCGAGCTATGGACACTGATTCAAAGACACAGGACTCAGGTTCTTTAGCATGTATTCTTTTCCTTTAAATCACAAGTGAAAGGAGCAACACATGGTGCTAATCAATGGTCATTAACATGTATTCTCATTGATTCATTGCGGGATACGTTAATAAGAGATCTTATGTAAGTAAGTTATTGCTTTGTCATGTATTACGTAAATAAAAGATCTTACATTGTACCTTGAGGTTGTCCCTAGCTATGATGTTCTTTAAATGGGCACAGGAAATCGTTCGCCTGCAACTTCACTTGCAAAGGACATGTGTTTTCATTTCATTTGAGTGAGCAGAGAGCTTATTTTTAAAGGTAGAAGAAACTTCTGTAATGTTTGAAAGTGTTATTCTTTTGTGCAACTGATTAGGATTTCCCACTGTCTTGCAATTAGCAGAGTGCAGTTTAGCTGCCACATTGTGCTTGTCCTCAACCTCTGTTGTTTATCTGGTTTAACTATCTGAAATGTCACTAGACTAGTTTCTTCTAGACAATCTTTATGCATCCTTTTTTTATTTATTCTGCAACAGGGAAGATTCTGAGAAGATGGGCAATAACAGTTTAGTCACAGTAGAGTTGGAAACATTCAAAGACACGGATTTCCTAAGAAACTGTTGAGTTTGGCTGATTCAGTGCTTCAAGACCTTCCACACGCGATTCCTTCCGTAGCAAAGATGGGAAAACATGATAGACTTCTCTGCTCTTTTCCAACCTTGCATTGAACACAGCTTGTGAATCCGTCAGATCAGATTCCGAAAGTAATGTCAGTTAGCTTCAACAACACTGCTTGTACTGTGTTCTAAACGTTTCTTTGAATTGCATAATTTTCCTTTTAATCACAAGTGAAGGGAGCAACATATGTGCTGATCACTGTCATAACTCATAAGCAATGTGTTCAAATTGATTCATTAGTAAATCTTGCGTAAGTAAGTTATGCTTTGTAATGTGTTGAGTTTTGCAGAGACAAGGGCGTTCGAGGCACTTCTCAGAATATCTCAAGTGAAGGAATTGTAGTAGTAGGCCTCTACAAAAAAAACCGTTTAGAATTGAGATACCAATAGTCCAATAGTATATAGTTAGACAAATCACAAATGTGCGATAGCTCCACTTACGGGCCTTACCCATATAAGTAAAGGTTCATTATTGATAAATTCCAACTACGTATAAAGTAGTATAAATAAATGTTTAATTAGGAAAAAAAAAGGAATAAAAACGAAAAAGACAGCATTTATTAGTAGTAATGAGGAAAAAATAGCGAAATTGAAGAACCAAACCAAGCAAGGAAAAACAAAATTAATCAAACGAGGCGACTCACTGTAAAGGAAGGACCCAGCGAAAAAGCTGACATGGCAGTCAACGATACGCGTAGAAACCGCGTGAACGTGTGATCCATCTCTTCTCTTGTCAACCTGGCGCTTAAATTTTAAACTTAAATTGATGGCATTCTCGTAATTAAATCCCCAAACCGAGGGTGTAATGCAAATTTCCATACAATTCGGGTAAATAAAACGTCTCAAGTCCGCGTTCGTAGCACAAATTGTCTCACAAACTCTTCGTCTTTTCTTTTTTTTTTTTGTTTCCTCTCGTCACAGAAAAAAAAAAAAAGAAAAAAGAAAAAAACAATGGCGGATCAGCTCACTGACGATCAGATCTCCGAGTTCAAGGAAGCCTTCAGCTTATTCGACAAGGATGGTGATGGTATGTTTATCCTCTTCATTCCCCTTTATAAGTTTCCTGTAAATTGTAATCGTAGATGTTGGATCTTTATCGATTTAGTTTCTACTCGATTCGGTGTCTTTTTTTTTATCTGTGTCTTGGTGATGGATCCATTTTTTCGTTTTTTCGCATTGAATCTCTAAGTTTTCCGAATCTTAATCAAATTTGTATGTAAGATGCAAGGATCCATGGACTTCGTCGTTTCTATCAGCGATTCCAGATTCTTCATCTTGTCGTAATGAATTAGTTGCTAGGCCGGAGAGTCTGGATCGGTTCTGTTTTGTTATTGATGATTCCTGTTTTTCAATTTGTAAATTTCAATTGAATTGTTATGATTTTGTAGTAGATTCGCATAGTAGACATCATCAAAGCACTGGAAATGACTGATACTAATTCTCGATTATATGTTGCAGGTTGCATTACCACAAAGGAGCTCGGCACTGTGATGCGTTCCCTCGGTCAAAACCCGACCGAAGCTGAGCTTCAGGACATGATCAACGAAGTTGATGCTGATGGTAACGGCACCATCGATTTCCCTGAGTTCTTGAACCTAATGGCTAGGAAAATGAAGGACACTGACTCTGAGGAAGAACTCAAGGAAGCATTCAGAGTCTTTGACAAAGATCAGAACGGTTTCATCTCAGCTGCTGAGTTGAGACATGTCATGACTAACCTCGGCGAGAAGCTAACTGATGAAGAAGTCGATGAGATGATTAAGGAAGCTGATGTTGATGGTGATGGTCAGATCAACTACGAGGAGTTCGTTAAGGTTATGATGGCCAAGTGAGGATGATACAACTTCAGCCTTCTCCCTTTTTTACTACCTCTTTATGTAATTCTTAAGAATGTTTCCTTCTCGATTGTTCTAAATTTCATTCATGGCTGGTTTTTTGGTGGTTAAAAAGACAGGAATGTTATTATCCCTTATGTGTTTTCTCTTTTTTGTCTGAACGGCTCATTTACTTTAACTGTTGTTCTATGTTGTTATGGATAGGTTCAGAACTTGATTCTTGAATGAAAGAAACAGAGTAATGAGATCTTCTTCTATTACCTTCGAATTGTTGAATGCAGCATATCAGATACTATATTATGATCGATTCTTTTTAGAATCTCTTGTCGTCTGTAAGATCAATAAGATGCTTATCGGTAGCGGTTAGTGTAGGGAGCTTAACCCGTGTTGGCTCAGATGAGGAACTTGAAGGAGAGAAGAGTATGGAAGTTGTTTCAGACATCCCATTGTTAAAATCAACCAAAGTCTCTAAGCTGTATATACTCTGTCCAGCTGCATAACCTCCCAAGAGTTGATAAGACCTGTCTGATTGATCCATCGTCACACACATATCTTCTGAACCTATCAAAAAATCATGATCAAATCAATTTCCATTTCTTGAGTATCCCAAATGCATATACACATTGGTTGCAAAAAAGACCAAAACTTACAAGCAGCGAGTTCGAGCTGAGTTTGATAAACGAATTCAAGAACAGCAGAAACATCTCGCTCGAATTCATGAAACGGTCCATCTTGGAAATTCATCTTCCTCAGCTTACAGACTCCTTCTCCTAACTCCATCATCGCTCCTTTATGGTTCTTGAATGAATTCAAGAAAGATCTCATATTAATTAACTCAAACGTGAATGAAAACGAACGATAGAGATAGAGAAAGGGAGGCTCACGCTGTTGAAAAGATGGTGAAAACCAACAGCACACTGAAGAATCCCATGGAATAAGGTTCGAGTTGGCTCCTCAGCTTGAATCCAAAGAGCCTCGAGCGCGTCGTGACTTTTGTAATAATCTCTCTTGTTGAAGAGCGCTACTGCTTCCTCAAAGCTCCAATCTTCTTCCTTCTCTTCGTCACTAAAGTCTTCATCTTCTCCGGCGTAATCGTTGTATCTGACGATTGATCGTCGGCTGAAACGAACGCGTATACAGCCAAATTTTGTGGAGAATGGACTCGTTGAAGCAGTTACAGAGAGTGGAGACGATTTAATCGTGGATATGAAGAAAGAAGATGGAGGAAGCCTGAAAGCTGAAGGAACCTGGAAGTGTTTCGGAGAAACTGCCATTATCAAAGTCAAAAGGTCGAGGAGCTCTGTTGCATGGTTCTGCTTGCGCCAGTTTTGTGGACACCGTTTTACCAATACTTTGGATCTGGGCCACAATTTGGGTCCTTCTGTTTATAATTAGGCCCATATTTTCTTGTGTTGCTTGCTATTTATGGTTGGTCATTTATCGCATTAAATTGTTTTGTGTTGCGTGCTTATGTATACTTAAGTTTTTTTCGACATTGATTTGCCAATTTCTTTTTTTGCTAATTTCTTACGATGGGAAATATTCACCGCATCGACATGATCCAAGAGGTGACACAACGATACCGCTAACACAAATCCTTACATCCTACCAAAAAAAAAAAACACAAATCATTACAAATTTACAATACATGTTTTGATCTAAGAGCAACTCCAATGCAAGTTTTTTTAGCAAATTTCTAAGAATTAAAAAGAGAAAAAATAAATTAAAAACATGTAATAAGCTAAGAAATAATTCTTGCTAAGAATTTTTGAAATTGTTTCTTAGATACATGTGTCCACTTATGATTGAGTGGAGGAAAAAAAGAAAAAAAGAAACAAATTTCCTGATTATTTAAATTATAGTGTTTAGTAACTTATTAAAAACTTTACCATTGGAAGGATAAATTTTATATAAATTTTTAGTTTCAATTTTTGTACTTTTTGTAATTAGAATATTACCAACATACTTGTTAAAAGATTTACCATTGGAGTTGGTCTAACTTTAATATCTTAGACATGACTAGTGGTAAAACATCATAATTATTAGTTGATAAAGATACAAATATGTTCAAATAGATTTAAGATTTTGTCTTTTGAATTTTCGAAATGCATCCCAAAAATTCCGTTAGATTTAAGATTTTGTCTTTTGAATTTTCGAAATGCATCCCAAAAATTCCGTTTGTATCTTCAGTTCAGTTGTATATAGATCATAGAACTATTGAGAATGATGATGGTGTCTAGAGACCAAGACAATGACCTAATTAAGGACCCTTCCCAAAAATCTCGAACTCATAGTTACTTTTTCCCCACCAAAGACATGAAAACAAAAAAATATATATATTTAACATATGTACATCTAATAATAAAAAGAAAATATTAATTTGCACTATGTAGCCCTCTCGTTTCACGTATATATAATCCATCTTTTAGGACAGAACCCACCGAAAGCTCCACAAACCCCATTAACTAACAAAAAAACAAAAACAAGGCGGCGCAACACATTAGAAAAATGCAACCAGAGACCTCAGATCAGATGCTCTATTCGTTTCTCGCCGGTAACGAAATGGGCGGCGGTGGGTACTGCGTCTCCGGCGACTACATGACCACTATGCAGAGCTTATGCGGGTCTTCCTCGTCGACTTCATCGTATTACCCACTTGCGATCTCCGGCATCGGAGAAACCATGGCTCAAGACAGAGCTATTGCTGCTTTGAGGAACCACAAAGAAGCTGAGAGAAGAAGAAGAGAGAGGATCAATTCCCACCTCAACAAGCTCCGTAACGTACTCTCTTGTAATTCTAAGGTAATATAACCTTTTATTACATATTTTATATATATATGAATTACTCTCTTTCATATGGCGTATATATATATATATATCCCTCATACATATACGTATATCATATCAATTTTAAGAGAAGAGTTTAAAATGGCTATTAGGGTTTTGCTTATCTTCTCCATCCTAAAGTTTACATATATCTTTAGATTTTTTCTTATGTTCCATTCGAATACAAGACCACTTTTCATGTTAGTTTGTTAATTATAACTATTTAGTTGACACTCTTTTGTCTAAGTATTCTTACTAATTAAACACATGATCAAAGGTGATCCCTGCATATATAATTCCACGACAAGATTGATGTTCATTTTATTTAAATATTCAAAAATTGCAAGTATTAAGAACATATAATAGATGAGGAAAAAGAAAAGCTTCATGAAATTACTTTTTGGGAAAGTTTTCAAGCTTTTTCTGTTGATTTGATTTGATATGAACATAAAATTTTCAACTCCTTGATCCGAAACTTAAAAAGGCTATTCTAAAGATCCAAACATTTAATTATATCAATTCTAATTTTATGTTTCTATTTTCAGACCGATAAAGCCACACTGCTAGCCAAAGTGGTTCAACGAGTCAAAGAACTTAAACAGCAAACCCTAGAGATCTCCGACTCCGATCAAACACTATTACCATCAGAGACCGACGAGATTAGCGTTCTACATTTTGGAGACTATTCAAACGACGGTCATATAATCTTCAAAGCCTCTCTATGTTGCGACGATAGGTCTGATCTCTTGCCGGACCTCATGGAGATACTTAAATCTCTTAACATGAAGACTCTCCGAGCCGAGATGGTAACTCTTGGTGGTCGGACAAGGAGTGTTCTTGTCGTAGCTGCAGACAAAGAGATGCACGGCGTCGAGTCCGTGCATTTCCTGCAAAACGCTCTTAAGTCGCTGCTTGAGCGGTCAAGCAAGTCGTTGATGGAACGTAGTTCAGGTGGTGGTGGTGGAGGAGAACGGTCCAAACGGCGTCGTGCGCTGGATCACATCATAATGGTGTGAAATGATGAGATTTGAGTACACTAAAAAGTCTATAATTGATTAATATATATATAGGGTATGATCATAATTAACTTGGTTATAATTACCAAAACCTTTTTTTATTCCTCTTTATATATATATGTTGTTTTGTTTTAGTTACTAAGTCGTGGGAGTGTAAGCAAATGTTGTAAGTAGGTTTGGTGTGTTCTTTTTCTTTTCTTTTTCAAGAAAAAGAAAAGGATATATATATAGATAATATTTTCATGTTACATATATTGTCTCTATATATTTTATATATTGTTTTGGTTGTTAGTGTGAGGACTAGGGCTTTGAGATTGTGGGAATATTTGTCGACGCAGAAGAATCTAAGTTACAGATGTGATTGGTGAAGTCGAAAAGAAACTAGACTTTGATATATACACACACTATATATGTGAATGTATATGGTAAAGAGAGGTCTATGTTTGTACGCTGTGAGTTTCAAAGCGACCCTTATGTCACCTTTGTCCCCAAATGAATCCAATCTCTCCCCTCTCTTTCTTTCTTCATGTCTTTCTAAATGTGTATATTTGACCACATTTTCTACACCAAAGAATATAATATAAGCAGTGCGTGTTTTTTTTCTCTAACTTATATTGATATGTAAAACTTGCTTATTTTAATTAAATCCATGTGATTGTGACGAACTGTTTTACTTTTAGTTGAGATTTATTAAGTACATTAGCGAAATGTCTAGTGGACGACTTTTCTCGGATCATAAAAAAGGAAAAAGCGTGCATGTATATATAAATGCTTAACACACAAACAAATTAAATCCTTATAACGTATATTCGAATAAACAAGTACTCCCCAAAAATTACATTGTTTAAGTAGTGTATTTATAGAAACAATACGTATGAGAATAGTGGGACTCAATAAATGGTATATAAACGTTAACATGAAAATTTATATTGTTTATTACCATCTTAACGAGGTGGAGACATTAGCTAGATGGCATGTCAAATAAAGTAGAAATAACAGCATGATCAAATTTTTATACTCATTAGCAGCATGATCAACTAAGGGAGTGAAATCACTAAAAAGATTATAAGTGGCATTTTAACCACTAAAACGAGGAACGATTGGGGATGAACACTTAACCTCAATAATGCATACATATGTACGCTAGAAATTTAAACTATCGAAAATTCGTACATGAGTTTGTAGAAGCTATCGTAACAAAGAAAAAAACATGATATGATATGCGAGATTCATCGATGATGCTGACGTGACACAAAGAGTAAAGGTTAAATTTAGGTCGACACACTTCATAATATATATTCGAGAGATTGCAGCTATATATATATATAAAGAAGATAAAGAGTTTGATGATATATGATTAGCTACAAATATTCTGAAATTCTTTAGTTATTTACTTATTGGAATGTGTAAAAGTTTTATACTGGGAATTGAATTTTCATTCTCAAAGCTTTTTGTACCTAAGAAATATGTTAGGGTACTAGTATTAATAATGAAATCTGTTATATATTGTCTCGAGTCATTTTGATTGAGAGAAGTTTGTAACTATCACTTATACTCATAATAATGGAAGTACTTTGAAATGTAGTATATGTATATATGCATGTGCTATCAATGTATCTCTCTGCTATTTATTCCATATGTAATCCGTTTTTGTTTATAGAAAAACTCAAGAATAGTTTAACCAAAATAGTGAAAATAGAATGTATCAATATGAACTATGGAGTAGGAGGAGAATGAATGTGGGATAAAAGGGGAAGAGGAAGCGTGAGAAAAGGAGACTGACAAAAGGAAGTAAAATTGATGGGCCATTGGCTCTATGAGACAAAAAGGACCGACTCTTCTCATCACTCTCCTTTTGCCCCTTTCTCTCTTTTTTTTTTTCTTTCTTTTCTAATAATTGTTTCTCTATAAACTTTGGCCAATGTAATAAAAATAACCAACGTTGAAGAAAACTAAGAGAAGAAAAGAAAAGGTGGAGAAAGTTTGTCCATGGAGCGTGATGGTTTCGGGGCAGCTGGTGTCCCCTCTATACTCAACCCTCTCGACCATAAAGTATATCTTATACAAATATTTTTAGCTTTTTGCACTATTTCTTAATAATTAAAGTTATGGAGTATGTTTTTTGTATTCATCTCAAAATGTTCCTAAATAGTTTTAATTAAAAATTCGTTTTGAAGTTTATGGGTAGTGTGGCAAAAGCAATCATTAACATCACACGTTAGTGTCTCATCGTGTGAACATGTGAGTCCCCCTCTTTCTTATCTCACCACACAATTTTGACCATCCTATTTCCTTTTTGAATTCATATGATCAACTCTATGTATATGTTTTTTTTTTCCTTTGTGTTTACTTTGCATTTTCACAAACAAAGCAAAGAGAAGTTAAAATATGTTTTTGTGTTTTCGTGTGTTCTTCTTGGTCAAGTGTTCTTGTTTACCTACACAGACAAAATGCAGGAGGAACCTTTTCACTTACTTCGGTGTTTTACCGGAAATTTAGAAAACCTAAAATACCACCGAGGCAGCAACTTCGATATGTTAGTTTATTAATTTTACTCCCGGTTTACTCTATACTATAGCTTTGCTATTAACAAATACTATATAGTATATTTTACTCATTTTTATTAAATCAGTGTCTTCATGTCCATTGTCAGAAGAACTTACATTCATTTTAACACCGTTTCTATTGATCTAACGTAGTAGTTGAACCATCTTTTATATTTTAAGTCAATAGTCTCAGCCTATTCAAACTACGAATTTATATAATAAAAAATGATTAATGATACTAACTATAACATCTATTAAAAAAAGTCACAATATTTCAGATATTTATTTGCTACCCACATTTATGCGACTTGCATACGATTTCTGACTAGTTTATCTTGAATCCACATTTGTCTTTATGTAAGTCTCCAAAATTTTTGTTAACTTAGATATATAGAGATATTTTTTTAATGTGCACAAATAAATAAGACGATTAAAAACTGTTTTTGTTCCCAATTAGTAAAACTCTTTAGATGGATGGGTTAAGAAACATACTGAAATAACAACAGCACCAAAAAAAAAAAAAATTGAAGAAGAAGAGAAGGATTGAGGATCACAGGCCCATCAAAGGACAAGGAAGAGTCGAGGGGTCCAAATAGAGATTGGAACCAAGTTGGTTTAGGGTTTCAGAGAGAGGCCCAAATTAGATTTGAGTAGATCAGTCCATAGTAGTGACAGTGACTCCGACAAGACAACACATGAGTTACACAAGATCACCACGTCTCTACTCTAAGTCTATGCCGTACGTCAACGGCACCAACTCCTAAGTCCTAAATCACATATATTCAATCATTTCATTCAAAACTCCAAACAATTCACCGGAGCATGAGTTTTGAATTGGATTGGACCAATACTGTATCCAAACTAAAAGAATTTGTGAAAATCGGAATTTGTAGATGCAACCGAATTAACAAAGTAAATAGTAATACAAGTATACACGTACGATTACATGTGATTTTTGTGAAATTTTGGGTTATAAAAATAGAATGTACATACTATATAAAATTCTCTAAGTGTATTATTGTAACTTTTTTTTTATATAACATGAATTACGATATAGAAAAAGTTTAGAAATATAAAAGAGGTCGCAAAAGAAAAAGAAGTGGAATATAATTGATGCCAAGAATATATATATTCTTTTTATTCTTAACCCATACTTTTTCCCCATTATTGTGTTATAATATAGGTTTTGTATTTTTTTTGGTCAACCATTGTAATTTAGGTTTCTGCTACCAAAATAACACACAACCCAAAAAGCCCACCAAGGATGATGGTTGTTAGGCTTTTGTCTGTTTTATACTTTCCTTGGGCTATATCACACCTAATATGGATTCCTTTGTAATCCTTTTTCGTTTTTATTAATGAAAATGCTTTACCAAAAAATCTTACCTAATATTTCTCTTGGTAACTTGTTTAGTTGGTTATTCAGTTTCGACTTTCGAAATATATATTTTTGGTTATGTCACAACTTACACGTACGAGTACGATTCGTTTTATAGTATTTACAATCTTTGAATTGTACATGTCTCCCGACGTATTGAATTGACTCGTCTACGTATTTTGAAAAATAATAAATAAGAACTAGTAACTAGAAGACTTGCACAATTTTTAATAAGTGATTCTCAACTCAAAGTTGCCAACAATGAACGCAATTATTAATATTCGTCTAATCTTTTGATTCTATACTATAAAAAAAAGGGTACTCGAGGAACTCGTTACAAAAGAAAGAATCAATCAAATCATTGCCTTCCAACTACGGATATTGAGTTTGTTCACTCATTATATAGCACGTGAGATCGTCACTATCTCACGCATTTCTTTTCTTCTTTGAGTGGTAAACTCACTATCTCACGTATTACACAAAAATATATGGGTAGGAAATGCATGAACTATGAAGATTGGCTGAATCGGAAGATGTGTAGTCCAAGAAATATTGTACTAATCAAAATATTGATAGCCTTGTGATGCTCTATAAATCTGACATATGTTAGACGAAACTACTAGTATTTGAGGGGTCATTAAGGTGGGTCGTCCATAAGTGATTTGGCAAACTTTGTAAAACAATAGGCTAACATAAAATAAACTAATTAGGCCTTTGGGTAGCTAACCTGTAACAAGTGCCAACTTCGAGGTTACAATTCTCTCTTTTTTTTTTTAAATATATTTTGGCATGACTCTAGGACTCTTTTGGATCCTTCGATTAATATTTTTAGACGTAGCAAAAATGGCAGTACAAAGATAAGGTTGCTGTGTAAAGTCTTGATAGAATTTGGCAATATAGAGAGACATCGTCGTCTCGTCTTATTCTTTCTCCGGACTTTATCTCTTTCTAAGTTAGATTGATAGGGTTTGATATCAACAAGACGTTACAATATTCCTAAACCATTACTTACATAAACAACATATCTAGTACTATTATATTAGCCATGAGTTGAGTTAGCAAGATGGTGAAAGAAGATGACTCTTCCTTGGCAGCCAAACATCACATTAATCCCATTTAACAACAAAAAGAGAGAGAGAGATCAAAATAAGTAGAAAAAAAAAAAAAAGAAAAAAAGAAATCAATCAACAAGGCTCTTTGCTTTTCTCTTTTTGATTCTCTTCCACTTTTATGCTCTCTCATCTCTTGGTCTTTTTTCTTGTTGCTACTGCTAAAAAAGCATCTTCTTCTTCCTTTTTCCTTTTTTTCCATTCTTAACACTTTGCTTTTGCTTATTCAAGTTTCTTTTTTACTTATTTAGCTTTTGCTTCTGATTGTAACCAAACTCGCTTCTCTCCTTCTCCTTCTTACTCTTTGCGTGTGGTTTATCTTCCTCTATAGTAATCTCTCGCATTAATCCTATCTCATTTCTCAAACTTTTTGCTTAATTCAATCTCCTCCTCCTTCTCTGCTTTCTGGGTTTATTCGAGTCTCGAGTTCTGTGATTACTTGTTCTCTTTCCCGGGAAAATTATCACCCACATGAATCTGCTTCATTAACTAAACTTATAATCTTCACAAAGTTTCAAGCTTTCGTTTTGAAAATTCACAATTCATGGGGATCTGTCATGGTAAACCCATCGAGCAACAATCAAAAAGCCTCCCAGTTTCCGGCGAAACTGATGAAGCTCCGACGAATTCTCAGCCGGCGGCGAAATCCTCTGGCTTTCCGTTTTACAGCCCTAGCCCTGTTCCTAGCTTATTCAAATCCTCACCTTCCATATCATCAAGCGTGAGCTCAACGCCTCTTCGTATCTTCAAGAGACCTTTCCCTCCTCCTTCTCCTGCTAAGCACATACGAGCTTTTCTCGCGCGTCGTTACGGCTCTATCAAGCCTAACGAGGCCTCGATTCCTGAAGGTAAAGAATGTGAGATCGGTCTCGATAAGAGATTTGGGTTTTCGAAACAGTTTGCTTCACACTATGAGATTGATGGCGAGGTGGGTCGTGGACATTTTGGGTATACTTGCTCTGCTAAGGGTAAAAAAGGCAGCTTGAAAGGTCAAGAAGTTGCTGTTAAAGTTATTCCTAAATCTAAGGTTCGCTCTTTGAAACTCTCTGATAAGGTTTCACTTGCGTTGTTTCTGTTTTTGAAAATTCGTTTTAAGTATATATGACCATGATTCGAATTCTATTTTCATTGCCATATGTTTAAAATTATGCACTTTTTAAAATATATTTTGGTCAAATTATTGTCAGAGAAATATGATGAAGGACTCTGTTCTGGTTTGTCTATGTTAAACTGTGTGGAACTGCTTTAAAGGTTGGCGAATCATATATGATTAAGAGAACATGGTTAAGATCGAACGAAATTGATTCTCTTTTAGATTTACGCTATCTAAGTTGAGTCCATCAAATGGGATCCTGCCAATGGCCATTGTGTTTGAATTTTGAATGCTATCTGTCTAGATTATAATTGCAAAGGAATTGAGTCTTGATATTGTTTGTGTATCTGGTAGGAGCGTGAATAAAAATAAGTGTTTACAGATGATTTCAATAAGCCAACTATCTCCCTGAACTTGTGATTCGATTGTTTCATTGCTTAGTGTTAGATGTTCTTGACTGCAGATGACAACTGCAATTGCAATTGAGGATGTTAGTAGAGAAGTGAAGATATTGCGGGCGTTGACTGGTCACAAGAACCTAGTCCAGTTCTATGATGCGTTTGAAGATGATGAAAATGTTTACATTGTCATGGAGTAAGTGTAAATTTCTCAGTGAGATTTCCTAAGCTCATTTGATCATTTTCCAATACAAATACTTTAATCTCCTTTGACCAGATTATGCAAAGGTGGTGAGCTTTTGGACAAAATCCTTCAAAGGTTATTGCTAAAAACACATATCTCTGTATTTGAATGATTGTATCTACTGAATCGTGCTTTGACTGATTGAGCTTGGTGCAATTAGGGGTGGAAAATACTCAGAAGATGATGCTAAAAAAGTTATGGTTCAGATTCTCAGTGTTGTGGCTTACTGTCATCTGCAAGGTGTGGTTCACCGTGACCTTAAACCCGAGGTACTTTATATAATCCATGGTGGTGTTTTAATTTCCAGATTGCTCTCTCATTGTTTTTGTTTTTGTAAATTTTATTGGCTTTAGGTGACACTTCACTTTCTAGGCCCCATCACATCATCAGCAGTCTTTGTACACATAGAATGAGTTCCACTAACTTATGCAGAGTGATGCTGACAGTTATGTTTCTTTCTGTTTGTTTGTTTTCCTTGCACAGAACTTTCTGTTCACTACGAAAGATGAGACGTCTCCTCTAAAAGCAATTGATTTTGGTCTTTCTGATTACGTCAAGCCAGGTCAGAGATGTTAATCTTGACCCGCGATTTCTCCTATCGAACTCTTCTTGATGTTAAATGGAAAATTTGATGTTTTGTTTTTGCAATTCTGCAGACGAGAGGTTGAATGATATTGTAGGAAGTGCCTACTATGTGGCCCCGGAAGTTTTACACCGTACATATGGGACAGAAGCTGACATGTGGAGTATTGGAGTGATTGCTTATATTCTTCTCTGCGGCAGTCGGCCCTTTTGGGCCCGTACTGAATCCGGAATCTTTCGAGCCGTCCTAAAGGCAGAACCCAATTTTGAAGAAGCTCCTTGGCCGTCTTTATCACCTGACGCTGTAGATTTTGTGAAAAGATTGCTAAACAAAGATTACCGTAAAAGACTAACTGCGGCCCAGGCTTTGTGTAAGTATAATCATCTTGATCTCTATAACGGGTTAACAAAAAATTATCATGTTCTAAACTTCAGATATTATGAACATCTGAACAATCAACTGTCTTATTCCTCAGGTCACCCCTGGCTGGTTGGCTCGCATGAACTAAATATTCCATCTGATATGATCATATACAAGCTTGTAAAAGTGTACATTATGTCAACTTCCTTGAGAAAGTCAGCTTTAGCGGTGAGTTAAATTCCGCAGAAGCTGTTACACATTGATATTACTTACTTGGAAAATGTGATCGTTGTGGATCATTTTAATGGGTTTTCTTTCACGGTTTTAGGCTCTTGCCAAGACATTAACTGTACCGCAGTTAGCTTATCTGCGGGAGCAATTTACATTGTTGGGGCCAAGCAAGAATGGATATATCTCGATGCAGAATTACAAAACAGTGAGTTCTATTTCTATGATTCATCATCTACCACTTCCCTTCTCAATTAGGATTATCTGTGATTCTTGACTTTTTTCATACAAATCTCAGGCAATCCTGAAGAGCGCAACAGATGCTACGAAGGATTCACGAGTCTTAGATTTTGTTCATATGGTAAGAAACGAGGCTAATGATATGGTATACTGCTTTATCAATAAGTTTGGTGGTTTAACGTTCTAATCTCTTTTGGGATGCAGATAAGTTGTCTTCAATACAAGAAACTAGACTTTGAAGAGTTTTGTGCTTCAGCATTAAGCGTTTATCAGCTCGAAGCAATGGAAACATGGGAGCAACACGCAAGGCGTGCTTACGAGTTGTTTGAGAAGGACGGGAATAGACCCATCATGATTGAAGAACTTGCATCGGTATAAACTTTATCTTTTTTTTACTCTCACCTAGAGGCTAAAGAATTGTGATTAGAGAAATACTCATGAAGAGAAACTTGGGTATATACTAATTCATCTTGAACATATGTGTTTTAATCGCAGGAACTCGGACTTGGGCCATCAGTACCGGTGCATGTTGTTCTTCAGGATTGGATAAGACATTCGGATGGCAAACTTAGCTTCTTGGGCTTTGTCAGATTACTACATGGCGTGTCTTCTCGGACATTACAGAAAGCTTAGAGCAAAACCACATTGTTAGTTGAGAAAAGATGCAACTAGGTGTATTCTGGCTTCTTCTTTCTTCCATTTCTTGATAGTGTTTTTAGCTTCTTTTTTTTCTTGTTTCTCTAATCATGGGTAAGCATTTGAGTCAAAGATTCGATATTTGTGTCTGTGAGTGTCTCTGTGTGTGGTGGGAAGAAAAAAAAAGTCTACGAAAAAAAGGAATGTACAGAATCAGACATATCCATATTATCTCCTTAAATTCATTGATGTCTACCTCGGCTTCTCCTTCTACTATGCACGAACATAAATTCGATTGGAGTGATTGTTCCACAATAATCTTACCGAACGGTTCCTTCAGTTTATCTCGGTCAACGAAATCCCCGAGGAATGAGGTCAAGGTTCTCTAAGGAGGGGAGATTTGTTATAGGAAATATGAGGAGCTAAGTGACGTGGAAGTTTAATAGGATCTGATTGGTGGAGGTGTGAGTTGTGAGCTGGCAACTAATGATTGGTTGGAAATGAAGAGCTGAAGCTAAATAGAACTCAAGGTCGATTATGGAGAATAACCAGAAAATATCAATTTGTGTAATCTTCTTCTTCTTCGATTCTCTCTGTAAATTCTGGGTTTGATATTTCATTGTTGTTAGAGCTGTTTCTTCTTCTAAGCTCTATCACATGAGATTTGGATTCTCGTTTCATGAACGACGATTCAATTAATCGATTCAATTGTTCTTATCTGAGAAATTGTAGTTTCTCTGTAACAAAATATGAATTTGTGTATGTGTCTTGTAATGTGGATCTGTGCCGCTACACTTTACGTGTGGCGCAATCTTCTAATGGCCGCCGGAACAACAATTCGTCTTCGCCATGTATGGATCAAACCAATGATACGCCACGTGACTGTGTCTCACAGTGGAGGAGACACCCACGTGACCTTAACGTTGACCTTTAGATCTCTGATCTAATCTTAATCTCTACCTAACCGTCGCAAAGATTCTTTCTTACTTCTTCCTCTAATCTAACTGAAACAGTTTTAACTATAATGGCAACAATGAGCAAAACCCATAGGTCAAAAGCCACTCTGGGATCAAATAGACTTGTTCTGCTATGCATTGTCGCCGTCGCATTGCTCCTCCTTCTTTCTTCCCTGCTCTCCACTGGCGGATTGGTTTTACCATATCGGAAAAGCCTAATTGGTTATTTCTTGAGGTCTTCACGAAGCAAGAGACAGCACAGTTTGTCGGATAAGTACTTGTACTGGGGAAACAGAATCGACTGTCCTGGTAAGAACTGCGAGACCTGTGCCGGTTTGGGTCACCAAGAATCTAGTCTTAGATGTGCCCTTGAAGAAGCCATGTTTCTTAACAGGTAACTATGATTTCCTCCCATATTTTTTTAAATTTCTGAGTTTTCTGATGGAGTTCTTGAATTGACAACTAGTCTTCTTGGTCATGAGATGTTTAGTTGAGTAAAATTTGGGGTTTTGAAGGAACGCTGGGGCTGTTGAGATATGGTATCTGTAATTGTCAGCTTCTTATTGCAGAACTTTTGTAATGCCATCTCGGATGTGCATCAATCCAAGACATAACAAGAAAGGTCTACTTAATCGATCAGACAATGAAACTACAGAGGAAAGGTGATAAATTCTTTAGACTACTTTTAAACTTAATTTTTGTTTTGCTTCCCACTTTAACAAATGAGGTCCCTCTGTTTTGTATGTTATTAGTTGGGAAGTGAGCTCTTGTGCAATGGAATCATTGTATGATATTGACCTCATCTCTGAGAAGATACCAGTGATCTTGGAGGACTCGGAAACGTGGCACATTGTGCTATCGACCAGTATGAAATTGGGAGAACGAGGGGTTGCGCATGTGTATGGAGCCAATAGGCATGAGCTAAATGACTCTAGCCAGTTTACAAATCTTTTGCTCATCAACCGAACCGCAAGTCCCTTGGCATGGTAAGCACATTGCTGAGTATCCAGTTGATTAGCAAGTTTCTTTTCACAAGCATCATTTTCTTATATTGTTTGTGGTAGTCATCATCATACTCTAGCTTGATCAGATCATATATCTATCTTCATTGTAGGTTTGTTGAGTGCAAGGATCGAGGTAACCGTAGCGACGTCATGCTACCTTATACATTTCTCCCGAATATGGCAGCATCAAGATTGAGAGATGCTGCAGAAAAGGTGAATGAATTTTACATAACTTAGCAATCTTGATTTTAAATTGAAAGGGAGTTTTGCTCTCTTGTCCCAAAAAAAAAGATGGCTAGGTTCTGTTGAATCCTTATAGCTTGTTCATAAACCAGTTTTGGTTGAACAGATAAAAGTACAACTTGGTGATTACGATGCAATCCATGTCCGTCGGGGTGACAAACTGAAAACACGAAAAGATAGGTTTCGCGTTGAAAGAACTCAGTTTCCACACTTAGACAGAGACACACGCCCAGAGTTTATCCTTGGCAGAATACAGAAGCAGATCCCAGCAGGGCGGACTCTTTTTATCGGTTCTAATGAGAGAACCGCTGGATTCTTTTCGCCTCTCGCTATCAGGTAATATTTCAAGGTCCACATTCAAGTTTATAGGTTTATAATAGATGTCCTTGTAAGATGCTTTTTTGATACACTGCAGGTACAAAGTGGCTTATTCATCGAATTTCAGCGAGATTTTGGATCCGATAGTCAAGAACAACTATCAGTTATTCATGGTGGAGAGGCTGATAATGATGGGTGCAAAGACATTCTTCAAAACATTTAGAGAGTACGAAACGGATCTCACTTTAACAGATGATCCGAAAAAGAACAAGAACTGGGAAATACCAGTTTACAGTATGGAAGGAAGCAAAGCAGTAGCAAGCTAAACCATCTATTGTCTCACTAGCAAAGACTAGACAACGATTCAGAGAAAAGTCTCATCATTTTCCAATTAATTGTCTTGTCTGAAGATGATTCTATTGCGGTACTAAGAAAAGATCTGTATCTGGAACCAGAGACTAAACAGTTACTAGAGCATTTTTCTTGCTACTTGGTTGTTTCATTTTTGTGTATATCAATGTGTTTATTTTTTCATTTGCATCCAAATTAGACTTTTGAGTTGCACAGTATGGTCAACCGTCTTTTAAGCAAGTCTTCTGCTTAAACTATATCACACAATCCAGTGTAAGTGTAATTTCTTTTTTTTTTTTTCTAAGTAGAATAGGTTTGTGAAAGGTTAAATGGATCAGTAGATGTTAATCCCTAAAGGTTTAGTCAGATAAGAATCAAGCTCCATGTTTTTTTCTTTGAAGTCTGCACTTACATAATAAACATTGCCTACGCACTTTGTTCTAAAACTACCACGGTAACTAAAAGAGGCAAAAAGTAAACCTAGAAGAAAGAAAAAGAGGATGTAAATCAGATCATCCGCTGGACATATTAGCTAAGGCAAGGTCATTCCTGTTTTTAGATCGCAGCAGAAAAATACCTCTTGTCTTGTGCAATGTCTTCATCCAAATCAACAATGTTTCTGACACTTCCTAGTAAAGGGTTTAGTGGGAATGCGCTTCAAGAAGGATGTTGGTGGCAGCATTGACATCATTTCTGGAGTGTACAAGAGCCTGTCTCGCTGCATTCTGGTCAAATCCCATAGATACCAAAGTTGCTATGGCTTCCTCAGATGGCTCTGTAGTTGCAGGCATTGGAGCTCGATAAGCTCTCTGAAAAACGGAAACATCACATGTCAGTAAATGAAGATGGGTTATTTAAATTGTAATACGAGTTTGGCTAAGGTTGCAACGAAAAGATGCTGCAATGACTTGCCACTGCTTGGCGACCTAAGTTGGGTGATGTCCTTCTTGGTGGTTGAGAATGGCTGCTCAAGGAGGGCAAAGAAAACCGGAAAAATAACGAAGCCATGAACTGGGGGAACTGTCATGTATTTTAGACAAAAAGTAGTGTTACTACAGCAGACAAAAACCCACATTTGAGGAGATGAATGATGTTATTTTTTAACGCAAAAGGTTTGGAAGATTATAACCTTTGCCTTGCGAATACCAAAGATGTTCAACCGATACAAGCAACCAGCAACTATTCCGCAAATTCCAGTAAACATGGATCTTTTCCAAGATGATAGAAAAAGCTACAATTATTGAAACCAAGCAATTTATCAATTAAAGAAAAAGGAATCTAAAGTACAACAAAATTCATAAACATAGGGTATAGTTTACCTGGACACCTGCAAGATATATGAATGATTTATCAGAGAAGTGGACGCCAAATACACCAAACCTCTTTGTTACTGGAATGTCCAAGAAGAAGGGTACAAAAGAAGCAAAGATGACGGCGTATGGTCCAGATGTCAGTAGGTTTGCAGTAGGATCTACAAAAGAAACAACAGTTTGTTACATAAATATACCCACGACCAATAAATGTAAAATGTGTGTTACAGAAATCATAAAAGGTCATATCACAAACGCTGATTAAGATTGCACAAAAACCATTTCTTGATAATTTAAATGATGGACCAAGGGAAATCTTTGTAAGATCTATCAACATCATGAGTGAAGAAAAATTCATCACAATATCCTAATCTTCACTGTACAGGTTTTCTTAGTGTTTGGTGAGACTAGTAGGAAGGTTAATTTAAGCCAACTAATAACTATGATCCCTTATGGTTTTCTGCATCAGCGCTGCCCCAATTTCATATCCTAAAGGGCGAGTACTGACGAAAACAATGTAGATTTTGATGAGATTACCTTTAAACAGTGATAACAAAATGGTCTCTAGTATTAGCGATACAGCCCCAGAGAATAAGATGAAAACCTGCAGAAAGTGCACAAGTTAACCCATGGAATTCAATCTTAAAGGCTTTTATCTTTCTAGTTACCAGGATAATGGACAGAAAAGAGATGAAGACAAAGTTGAGCTGGACTATCCCTTACCGAATACTTATTTGAACCAATCTGTCTCTCAAAGACTCGGAAGAAGTAGAGCAAATACAGGCCGGAAAACAACTCTGGTGAGGAAGAGAAGGCAAAGTTCGATATGATTAATTTCCTAATCCGAAACTTCTCAAATATATCCTGCAATGAGATTGAGAGAAGCTTATAAAGATACGATTGAGTGCATTTGAGGCATCGGAACTTTTTACTAATTCTACGAAATACATAAACAAAAAGACTTTGAAACAATCAAATATATTTCCAGGAGCAAGGCTACTCTACTATTAAACATCTCGAGCCTAAAATTCTGCTTAACCAATCCATGACGAATCTAAGTAAAAACTGGATCAATAGTGCTGCTTATGCTTAGTGTAGCTACAGTAAGAACCTAAGCATAATCCGGTAGTATTTTCTAGTGCCAATGGTGGCAATCAGAGCACAATAAGACAAAAGCAAAAACAATAGGTAACAAAAGCCTAAAACTTGTGAAATAAGAGCCAGAATCCGATATCATAGTTATTCTGTAAAACCCACAAGTGCTTCAAATCGAATGAAGAGATGAAAGACACAGTACCTGGTAAGACAAGCCGAGCTTGGAAGAACCGCTCCTGATCCCGAAGAACACAGTGAAAAGGGCGCTCGCAATAACGAAGGCTTTCGTGACCGGAGCATTATCTGCAAGTTCCGTAATTTCAAACATTAATCGAAAACCCAGAAATGAGAGAAGCAAAACAAATCGACAGAAGCTGATCGAGCGAAAGATAAATGGGTAAACGTACTGAAACCAGAGGGACCTCCGTTCATCTTTTAATCGGATGAACGCGAAAAAGTGACAAAAATCAATCAATCTGGGATTGTGAGATCGGAGAGGTGACGGGAGCTTCAGTTTCTCCTCAAGTCGTCTCCGATGAAATTTCTACAAAGGATGTTTCCTAGAATTTTCAGTACCTCTCGAATTCAAACAAACTACTCTAAAAGAAAAAAAAAAGAAAAATCAGCAAAAACAGAACAATCCAGAATCTTTCATTATTAGCATATGCTTTAAATAAATAAACTAAAGATTTTTGCAAATAAAGATCACATATTTTCATTTTCTTACTGTACTACCCCTTAATTTCAAGTCTAACACTATAAACCAAAATTTTCTTCTATTCCCAAGTCCTACTAACATTATGGCCTCGATTGGTAACCATGATTTAGGAAAAAAATGAAAAGGAATGTGACATTCCTCTTCATTCCTCAATTTTTTTACCATTTACAAGGAATCATTTTTCCACATCATTCCTCTACATTCCTCACAAAATGAGGAACAATAGAACAAAAATGTTCCTCCCCAAAATTGATGAGGAACAAATGGAACAAAAAAAGAACAAATATTAAAATTCGTTTTTATTTTAAAATAAATAAAAAATTATTTATTAATAATATTTTAATCTCATAATATAATATTTTCATATTTTTATCATGTATTGACATTAAAAAATATTTTTGATATGAATTTCATGTTAAAAAATCTTACTATACATTGTTTAAAATTTGTATGGATAGTAAAACATATTTAAGAGATGTTTATATCATAAATAACAAATAAAAATTACTATAATCTATAATAGGTTAATATAAATTATTAATTTTTAACATTAAATATTTAAATTCATTCAAAAATATATTTTAAAATTAGTGTCAAATTCATTATATATAAATTATATCTAGTATTATTATTAAAGTTGATTTATTTAATCAAATATATTATAAAAGATAGTGTTATTGTTTGGTTACCATTTATTATTTTGTTCTTCTCTACATGTTTTCCTTTCATTCCTCTAAAGTTGTTTATTCCGTTGCGTATTGTTTTTTTTGTTCTTTTTCCTTTTGTTCCTCAAATGGTTACCAGTAGAAACCTATAACATACGCATCAATGCGTCATATTATTCGCAATTTCGCATGTAGATCCCTTAAGCAAGAAACTGCATCAGTGTCTTGTGAAACAAATTTGCTATTTACACAAATAAGTCAATCGTATTCCTTTTTTTTGGTATTGTTTACATTTTACAGTCAACGACAGAAGAAATAGAAAATCATATCATCCCCTCACCTACACTAATCAATGAGTTGTTTTGCTAAGTTTGAAGCAAAATTCTCACAAAAATAATAAACATGAGACTATTCCAAGGCTTGTGATGGCCACATTCGCTTCCACGTAGAAACCTCTTCCTCCGTACCCAATTTCTTCACTCCGCCGTAGAAACCATTGTCTTCGTTTCCCGTCTCACGGTGGTCCTTTCTATTTATCACCGTCCTACTCCACGGCGACTCCGGTCTGAATTGTCTGAACTCCATCACCACATTCTCTGCCAAAACACACACACGCAAATTAATTTCCTTTTGTTCTTCTTCAATAGTTTACAAAATCGAAAAGACAGATCAAAGTTGTTTATTATTTACCGGCTGTATGGCAACGGCAATTCTCTTCTCCGTCGCAGTTTTGCAGATGACCTACGATTCCAAACCACCAACCTACGCCGGAAAATTGGAGTAAACCACCAAAAAAAATCAGACGAAATTGATATGATTTTAGAACCAAATTGAACAATTTGTTGGGGAAACAAACCATAAGGGAACTCTTTGGTTCTTCGCCATTGGATCTCGAAATGGTCACCGGGTCGAAGTCCGTGCAAACAATCCGACACGTGGAGTTCACGTGACTTTGTGTCCACTTGAGACGGTCTCAGCCTCTGCCACGTCACCTTTTCCTCCGCCGCACGCCGGCCATGCGCCGAGTATCTGAGCATAGAGAGATCAATACACTAAACTTAGTTAAAAAAAACCTCAGAAAAATCACATTTTGCGAGAATCTCAGGGATGCTGTTGATAAAAATCCTTACTTTGCTTGAAATGTATCAGTCTTGAAATCGTATCTGATCTTCGCATCGTAACAAGACATCATGAATCCAACATGTCCGTGCTGCAACCAAACAAAAGCAAAGATCAATACACCCGTAATCGATTTCCAAATTTAGCAATCAAAAGAAGCAATTTTTCTCCGATTCAGTGAAATGGGTAACACTATATATTACCTCGCGATTGTAGACCTGAGCAGGGAACCAAAACTTGCCATTCTCAAGATTCGAGTACCAATACATTACAGAATCAATAGGTGCGAAATATGATGATGCTGAACCTCTCTTGTCAAAGCCGTGGTTTGAACTTAACCATGAAAAAGGTCTAAGACTCGCTACAAACCTCGAACTCCAATTTGGTTTACTACTGCTTTGGTTCGAACTTCTGAGACACCTCATTATCGTTGCGACATGAGATTTCCACTCTTGTGTCGCTGCATCACCCATCAATCTTCCCCATTTTGTTTCCATATGCTTCTGCCATAGATGATCGCTGACACATTTGTCTCTGAGCTCCGAGCAAACACAAGTCATAGCACAGAGCTCAGATGGAGAGAGCTTCTCTAAGATGCAGTCTAAAGTTAAGGCAGGCAAATCAAGAAGAGACATTTTGTTTTCATCTTCTGGATTCTTCTTCTTCTTCTTCGTTTCTCTTCTCCATAGTAATGTTCTTAACCAGTTACGGTCGATAATGCTTCTTGCAAGCCAAGAGACTATGAGTAAGAGTAGCACACAAATCGTGTTGGAGAAACAAAACGAAAAGAAAGTGAGGTTCTTTGTCTCCATTGAGAGCAATAAACGAGGGAGAATCTATGAGAACAGAGAGAGAACAGAGTGAGATTAGAAGCTAGAGAAAGAGAGTTTACTGTTTACGACAAAACAAAAGAAGTTTTTGCCTGCCACTCACACACGCAATTCAAGAGGAGTTGTCGCATGTAGTAGTCATGCTTTGTGTGTTTGTCCGTGTATATATTTTCCAAGTAGTAGTATTAAGGCAACGGAAGCTTGAAGTTGTGGCCACTATTAGCAGAGAGACATTTAAAAAAAGAAAACACTATAGAGACATCGAGTTGTGAACAATAATGAGTTGAAGGGTTTGTAAAGATTCGTTGTGAGGCTATTAAATTTCAAGAAGTGCAACATTAAATTGGGTGAGCAATAAATACAGTTATGGGTAGGTGGAGCAGAACCAATGCTATTTTGTTAGATCAATAAGCCTTCGGAGACAATACCATGAGAAGATTATAGTGATAGTGACCTTGTAGAGTTTAGTGTCGTGCGTGACAGCTGGCTCCCGCTGCACCGATTTTTATAGGTCGACCCAATTCCAATCTTAAAGTTACTCAAAACCAACAAAAACTAATTTCCCTTTTGAGGCCAATATGTGTTGAAACAGTAAACACCTTCCCAACTACTTTTTATTTGCTTTGTCCGTAGCCTAACTCAACCAAACTTTCCAACTACTTTGTACTAACATTTTAAAGATTATGGGAACAATTAGTTGGTTTATGGATCTATCTACATAAACATAATCTTAAAAAGTCTTAAAAGCCGAAATCTCACGAAACCAATAGTCCAACACCGACTTGGTCAACTCCTTTTTGGTAACTCAACTAAAGCGACGTGGACTATACATATTACATACAACAGTTGTAGTTGATAAGGTTTGGAGTAAAATCACTCAAGTCTTCTAATACCCAAAACATTCGATGCCGTGAAATTATTTAATTAGGAACTCTTACAATTTAAACTCAGTTACTAACTAACTAGCTGATGTGTCATTGTTGATGAACTCCTTTCTTTGCTTCCCCTACAAACAGCTTATTAAACAGCATCATGGAAGGAACATTGCTTTGACCCAGGAAAAGTAATTAAAAAAAAAAAAAAAAAAATTGGCTATATTCAAGCACTGGACATCGCTTTTGGAGTTGGATCCAGTGGGCTTCTCTTATTTGTCTTTTAAAAAATATAAGACTTGGAGAATCGTTTATGAAGAAAGTTGTCTAGTCTAAAACAATTGTAAGTGTTGCTTTTAGAATTTAGAATATGGTCCAATGGGCTTATTTTTTTATGTGAGAATATAAAATTCAATCAGCAAGCATATAAATTGGATGTAATGTTTTTAGATTTATAAATTAGGTAATGAAAGAAAACAATATAAAAATTAGTTAATAAAGCCAATTAAATTAGTTAGAAAAAAATCATATTATTAAATTGAAAATGAATGACATTTTCGTAAGTGTCGGAAAAATATATTTTTGTATTTCAAATAACTTTATCTTTTTTTTTCTTTTTCTTGAATCTCTCTGTAACCTTTTTTTTTTTTTAACTTCACATATATATGTATAAGAAATGTATAAATACTACTATAACAAAGAAAAAAAAGGTATTGATACTTAATATTTGTGAAATCATGATATAACATCCAGATATATATTCAAGTACGTATCGTGTGCTCAACGAGAAATAACAAAGAAAACACATGAAGTGGTTGGAGGATATGTGTAATGAATATATCTTCGTGGACAAAATATTACTTTGATAGATTGTCTCGGAAGAAGTCGTTTGGATCCGTTTACTTTCAAAGTCAACACACGTACGTACGTGCTTTCCGGATAATGCAACCACGGTCCACGAATTACGTTTTTTTTTTCTTTTTGGTGTCCAACAAGGTTTATTTTTGGTCGTTAGTGTCCAAACTTTTTTAAAAATCACCAATTTCTTCGGTTATGGAATTATTGCAGTTTCTGTAGTTAAGGCCAAAACTAATTAATTCATCGCCCATCAACTTAATCGGTCATTAGCCACAACTCATCATCAGCTACAGAGATGGATGGGTAAGGAAGGTATGGCCGACAAATTTCAAAACATCTAGGTTCAACTTCTAATCTTCTATTATGGTTATGGAGAAAATATGACACGTAAATATAAGATGTGATAGTTCTAAAATTCTAATAGAAAATATAGTTTTTGCATTTGTGAAAATAGTGTTTTGAATTTCCTCTAAAATTATAATATGCCTCTTTTTTTTCCTTTCTCTTAATGAAATGGGACCGAAGAATTCGATGCAGACTCGTACGTCTCTATTGGAAGGATGATATTTTATATTTGTTAATTGGGAAAAAATGATAACCTCACGCAATATACGAGATTTTTTTCTTTCAACTTTGATCATGAAGATCGAGAGCCAAGTGGCCCAAGTCGTACGTACACCTGGAACTATATTAACGTATTTGAATTTGTCATGAAAATTTTGAAAAGACTCTCTATCTACGTACACGTGACTTGACTTATTTGAAGACCTAATAACATATATTATATATATGGTTAAAGTCAGAAAAAAATACTTAAAATTATGTCGGAGCTTATGATAACTTTCTTTTGATTAGTTAGACATAATCCACTGTAAAATACGAGAACTAATTAAACCTCTGAACTCTTTGGAAATGAAGTGTAGGTAGTATTGATCAAAACGAAAGTAAAATTGGGAGGGGGCAATTAGAGAGGTCCCTCACTAAAATAATAATGCATAGAAGCGATTTCAAGAGACCTTTGTAATTAGGACAGACCACAGCACATACCGCTGTGTTTGCTCTTGATACCCCCTCTCCCCCTTCCCACTTGTCCTCATGGACCCCTTTTGCCTTCATTCCTATCAATTATTTTCCAATTATTAGTTCTTTTTTCTTTCTTTCTTTTTTAAGTTTTCTACTCATACAATACATTACTTTTCGGGATCAATATTGACATTATGTTGTTTTTTAAAAAAAAAATGTTTAAATAGTAGTAAATATATGCTAATAAATTTCAACCAAATAACACCTTTTTGTTTGTTGGAGTCGACGAAGATAATGTTCGCCACAAAATGTAACTAAAATCGGTATAATAAGGGTGTTTAAAAAGATGATATTAACTTAAAAAAATTTCACCTAGAGATATCCAACACCTATTTTGATTTTCCTTTGAAGCTAAAAATCACCAGTTAGGTCTATATTGCGTGCTCAACAAATGAGTTGACTCTTTAAACATGGAAACAAACAAATGAGTTGACTCTAATTGAACGACCAGACCTTTTCATACGCATATATGACATACTCTGTATTATTTACGGTATGGCTAGTTTTTTCGTTGTTGTGGACAAAGTAAGTGCTTGTTTTGGCTAATTTAATTGTTTGGGATCAAATTTGTGTTAATAATTCAATATGGTTACGTATCAAATTCTAATGGATCCTTCAATGGCTCCCGCGAAGGTTAGTTAAAATTTGTTTTTTTTGCTTTTGCTTTTTTTTTTTTTTTTTGTCATACAGTTATAAGGTGGTGAGAACATTATCGTCGGGACAAAGTGACGTCATGGCGTCTATACGTCTGCCTCAGCGATCTTGACGTGGCCTTCTCTCAGATCCCCTGATGGCCTTTTATTTAGCCGACGGCGGCTTTCACTTTAACTTATTCTCTCCTTCATTTCCCTCGTCCCTCACCCATTGTTTTTTGGCGCGTGACAATCACGTCCGTGACTCCTTCAGAAGAACAACTTTAGCTGAATCATTTCCATCTGAAACAAACAATATTGGTCTATAAAACATTTTATAATGTCCAAAAATTCGTTGCATACTAACTTACTATGTTAATTTTAACTGTTTTAAACCATTTAGAAGGTCCAAAATATTGAGTGATTAAAAGTTGATTACCATTGAAACGTCCTAATAACAGTTTATAAATTTAGACATATAGCATAAGGGTATTTAATTACATCTTAACATACGATATACTTAAGACGAAAAATTGATCACTACGTCAGTCTCCGGACTACATATTTTACTTTTTCTTTGGTCCAAATTAGTCCAACAAAATTCAATCAAAAAGGTAAAAATTACTCTCTTTGTATTATTATATATTTTCGTAAGACATATATAAAATCACACTTGTTAAGTTTATGGAGAAACCATAGGGTGAAGAAAAGATGAGCAAGTAATATGTAACACGCACACACGCGCCGTCGGCTATGATAGCAGATGAGGACTCAATGACCATTTAATTTGTTTTTGTTTGCTTCTCTTCTCTCTTCCCCTACCTTCGCTGTAATTTCCACTCTCCTTCCTTCCTCTATAGTAAAAAAAAAATAACAAAGTTTTATTGTATATATATTTTAAAACTGGGGCTTAAACAAAGACAGACCTCATCACACACCTCTAAAACTATATTGTTTCTCTCTTACAAAGAAGATGGATCAGTCATCATCGACGTTGCTCATAAACCAGAGAAAGTCATCATCGTCGAAGCAAAAGAGGAAGTCAACGACGACCACGACTACGAACAAACACATCAAAGTCCGTTACATATCGAATCCTATGAGAGTCGAGACTTGCCCTTCTAAGTTCAGAGAGCTCGTCCAAGAACTCACCGGTCAAGACGCCGCTGATCTACCACCGGAGTCCCCCGCCACTTTCCCCGCCGCAGATCTCCACCGTCCTTGTGAGTCCTCGGGGATGAACTCTGAGCCGTTGGATGATGGAGGGATCCGCGAGTACTATTCACCCATGGATGATGAAGTGTTTAATGCTCCTCATCAGATGTCGTCGTCGGCAAGTCTTTCTGGATTTTTCTCGTCTGGTTTTTACAATGTGAATGCTTTAGAAAGCATTGGTTCTCTCTGATTCCAAATTACAATTCTTATTATATATCTAAGTTTCCACACTGAAGAAGCAAATCATCTATACCTAGTTTTAGGGTTTTCATCGAAACATATATATATATACCGCTAGCTTGGTGAATTATTTGCGTTTGTGAGTAGATATGTATAGCAAACCGTGGTCAGTCCAAGCGAGAAATATTTTATTTGTTTGTTTTTTTTAAATATATATAATCAAACCTTATGAGAAATCTTTTATTTGTTTGTTTCTACTTTCTATATATATCTAATCAAACTTTATGCGAGGTTTGGTGGTAATAATTTTTGTGATCTGATGATCTCCAAATGTATAGATCACATATGGAAACAAATAATAAAACTGTATAGAGAGCTTTTATGTTATCACGGACTTTAGTAGAACATTTGGATAGATGTATGATGTTATCCCTTTTGAATTTTTTTCGATGACCCCATTCTCTGTATAATAGAGCTACGCAATAATACATTTATTTTCTGTATTTTTCTTAGAATGATTTAAGAGTTTTGTTATTTTCTTAATATTTAATAAATCACATTATTATACGGAACTACGAACTTATCTACTACTTCATAAGTTTCAAAAGTTCAAACCAAAAGAAATTTTTATTTTTTAAGTTGATTAATATTTGTTTCTATTATATTTCGTATACCAAAAAAAAAAAAAACAGCGAGCATTTGTATTTTGGTTGTAATTAAATGTGAACCTTAGACAAAAATACATCATATCATCATGATTGATTGTGTAAAACACTAAATATTTACATTTACATATTGAGTATTATACCTTAAGAGTTTATATATTAATTAATATAGCATTTGTAAATAGTAAATATAATTACACAAAGGCAAAGATTATATTTTATCACTATGCATGTTTTGTATTTCGCATTTGCCCATCTACAAACAATATTTGATGGGAAACTAATACGATCATCTGATACGCACAACATTAAATCGAAACAACACCTTGAGTTTTAACTACGTAGGGATTTTAATGGTAGTTGACTATTGTGATCATGCCCTTAAATTGCAAAATTATATTCAATGTACGTTCCACAAGTTTTACGAGTTTCTCTAGATATATATGATTTGTGTGGCTATGGTTCGATATAAAGACAGAAAAATCCCAACGATTTATGAGATAGATATCTACTTTGCATTCAAAATAATACTTCTAAATCTAATCAAAAATGATTTAACATCAGCTTGTAACAATCTTATCGTTTGAGTTTTTGACCAAAAATATGACCTATGTTTTGACGCTTGTTTCGCACGGCCAATAGACCGATTTCAAAATTGTCAACCAGAACTGACACATATTAGTATTATAATTTATTTTCTGTATGTTTACTTGTCACCGTCGATCTATATGTCATATTAATTGATGGTTAAGAAATCTAATTTTGTAATCGAATTGATATGTACCTTATAGTCAATAAAGGTATATGGACCAACCAATTCCATATCGAAAACTAACATGAATCTAACGTTTTCCAAATTCTTGTTCTACATGTCTCATTACAGTAGTTCGTAAAGGAGATCATCCACATACCTCTATACATACTTGTTTTCTGTCAAATAATCTTAAATATTGAATAGTTAGTCTGGTGTCAATATGTTTTTTTTATTGTCAATAAATATTACAGATTAGTTCAAATAAGTCAATTACGAAGAACATTGGTGAATATTGATTCTTTATTTTTTTTAATGACACATGAAAGACATTTGAATCTCCAATGTCATCCTTCCCTAATTCTTTTTTCATTAAGGCTATCCAATCCTAAATGAAATATTTGTAAACACATTCTAATTTCTGTGCAAACACTTATAGGAAGATTATTTTCAAAGTGTTATCATTTGATTGCAAATTATTTCTTAATACTGTTTGTCTCTTATAAGTTATAAGAGAAGAAAAAAGAAGGTGACCAAAGAGAAGAAAAAAGAAAAAACCAATATTTTTGTTTACTCTCTAGAAAGCTAAATGATTTGTGACAAATTAAGTGAGCATTAAAACACTTTTAGCAGGACCGACAAACCTTAAGTCACGTAACTTCCCCTTCCACTTTGTCGTGTCGGTGATGACGAGACGGGGGATATTTGGGTATAGCCTAAATCAAATCACTAAATAATACTACAATATGCATAGTTCAATAGGGTTTGCTTCTGTTTTTGATAGTTTTAATTCATTTTCACCGACTTTTTTTCTTTTCATCAGATCTTTATTTTCTTCATGTTTAACAACTACGAAATTGTATTTTCTTTCTAAGTGATGTCATAATTATGATTTACCAATAGTTATCAAAAAAAAAAAAAGAGAGCAATGGTCACCCTGTAGCATTTTATCGCAAAAGACATTTCCGTTTACTTTCATCAAGATAGTCATGAGTACTCATGAACAGCAATAATAAGAAAGATGACTATATCGTCTTGATAGGTTAGAGAAAAGATAAGTTATGACTTATGAATCTTATGATAATGTGGAACAAATTACCATTAAGTTCATAAATAAATAGTTTAATATTACAGAATATTAGTTTAATATTACAGAATATTCGACATATTATTATTAACTATATTTACTTTTTTTAACGCTTTGAGATTTTATTAATCAAATAAAAACGATTACAAAGAAAATAAAAGCAGAAACATGAAGAAAGAAGAAAAATAAGAGTAAAAATAAGAACTATATTTACTTTATATAAATAATATATTTAAAAATATTAAATTACTTGAAAATGAGACGGACCACAAATTATAATAAACCTTTGTATCTCTGTTTTTGTGGATTGACCGTAAGAAGTGTTAGAGACAAAACAACATAGTTTAAAAACTTTGTTTATATAAGGAGAATTTGATGTGAAGGTGAGATTAGGGAACAGCTAGGAAAACTTTGGTTTAAGATTATAAGTATATGTTTGATATCTTGTGGTACCACAAACCGGTGATGAAACGACTCAGAGAAACGGAGAAGTACTGTATATTCTTTGTCTCTTTAATTTTGTTTCAAATAATTGTGAATTAATTATCGCCATATATGTAAAACTCACTGATCTGATGGCCATATATGTAGCTATGCTTCTTCCGGAGTTAACTAGAAATATTAAACAGACAGTTACATCAGAAGGCAAGAACAACCTAACGTACGTTTCCTTTTCTTTTTTTTTCTTTTTTTTTTATGAAGGAAATTTTGGCAATCTTCAGAAAAGGAAATAACCTAAATTTCCTTTTTTGTTTTGTTTGAGAATTTCCTTTCTTTTATCATATAAAACAAACTAACGTAAACTTTCCTTTTTGTTTTTGTTGGCAACCTTTGCTTATATTATTATGCATGTCTGATAATAACATCTCTTTGAATAGTAACATCTCTTTCTGTATGTTATTATTCTGCATGTCTTTAAATAGGCGTGATCATTTCATTATAACCAAATCTAAACATTAGAAGGAGCTGCTCAGATAACTGAAGAGATGCACAAAAATACAAAAGCAAACGTAACAACTCATGAGAAAGCAAACTAGTTTTTATTAACTTTTAAGTCCAAATTAATCTTAACCAGAGACTTATTAGCTTCAACAAAAAAAAAAAAAGTAAACTCAAAGAAAAGGATAGAAAATCTATGGGGATATTTCACGGAGTTTCTTCATTGATAGTTCCTAATGATCTTTGCAACCGAAGAGTACGTCCCCAAGGTTCCACTGACCACCCCAATGGCCACAATTGTTGAACTCAGAATCATCTGTATTACACAACTCAGTATGTTAATCTTTAAGAATCCATACACAAAAACCTCATTGTCCCTATTTTATTTCAACAAGCTGGGAAGAAGAGGGACACCAAAAATGGTGAAATTTATATACCTGTGTTCTTGTAGCTTTGTTCCCCATTATCTTCATGAAGCAAAGAGCTGGCATTACTATTGCCTGAATCATACAGACATCATGTAAAAGACTTTTTAGTTTTGATCCATGAATGTGTGTGACTTGACAGGAATGATGATCTTTGGTTATTAATAACTAGGGAGAGGGTAGAGATGATGAAAACTAACCACGAGTATACTGAGAAGAGATCCTATAAGAGCCATCACAAGACCTGTGTGGAAAATCAACCAATTGCAAAAAGAAAACAAAAATGAGCCTTGAGACCATTAAGGGGGAAAAAAGACATTCGAGTTCTCGACCTTTCTAGCTTGATGTTCTTACCAAAAAATGGGATAAGGAAAGCAGAACAAACAGAGGAAGCAACTAGTGCTGTTCTTAGAAGAAGAAAGCACCATATGTTCTCCGACATGCTTGGGGGTAATAGTTCTTCTATACTCCTTGCAAGTGGATTCATCAAGAGAGCGTACTTTGTAAAAGGACTGACAACCTGAAAAAGGATACAACAGAAGCAAGATGGAGTTTAGATTAAAATGGAACTTCCAAAGATTATGGAAAGAAACAAAGTTTTGTTTTCTAACCGTTGTCCACTGTGCCACTTTTGAGAAAAACTGGTTCTGTGGCATGTTTAGTGTAATCTGAGACAAGGTGGCTTCACCAAACATAAGATATCCCATGACTGCAACTCCTCCATATAACAAAACACATAAAATGAAACTGCAACATAGCCAAAACAAAAATCATTGGTTTTAGAATTGGATTGAAAACATCGAAAGCTAAAATAAGAGTGAAGTTCTTGGTTTTACACTGTGATCACTGCTTTGTTGAATTTGGTTTTATCAGCCATGGATTGGTATATATTTGGGAACACAGAATGGCCCGAATAGCAAAATCCGTAAATACCAATAGCAAACGGTATCCCTTTCAATTTCACAGCCTGCCCGGTGTGATGAAACCCAATTCCCCCCGTTGTACCGAGTAAAAACACGCTTACTGCTATTAGAACGGTTGCAATAACTCCACCAGCTATGTGATCAAAGAAAAACAAGTGAGCTGATTCAAGATTCTTGACTAAAGGAATCAATTATATGAAGAAAAATAGTAACTGAGTGTACCTGAGAGGTAGGAAATGATGCGGAGATCTTTCAACCAAACAGTTGGCAGAACAACGAGAGCAGTAAAGATTCCAAATAAATGTTTAGAGTCAATATGGATCCCAAGCCAATCCAAGGATGTACCAGGGAAAAGCCCTGTAAGGTTATCCCCTTCCAAAATGATGAATTCAACACAATATGACTACAAAAAAAGTAGACAAAGATTCTAGTAAGTTCAAATTTTCCAGAGCAGAAACAAGCTTTAGAACCATGAGTTTAACGTTGGCAACAAGAAGATGTTCACTTACATATAGTTCTGTGTACAATAGCACCTGCAAAACAAAACACAAAACATTGCAGAGACCATAAGGAACAGTGGGATTCTATAGCTGCAGCAGCTAATGAAAAGCAGAACAACTGATCCAAATCCCTAAAACTAACCACTTACACAGATAAGAATACGACCATAAATCCCAAAAGCTGCCTCTCCAATATCAGGATAAGTGATAATGCCAGTTTTGTTCTCGAAACATTCTTTCATTAAAGTAGCAGTGTAACAACAGATAACAGCAAATAAGAGAAGAATCACCATACTTGCCCAACCAGCTTCTTTCACTGTATAAGGTGTTGAGAGAAGTCCAACTCCAGCCATTACGTTAATAGCTGCAACCAACACAGAGTTACACATATTTGCTGATAAGCCTAAGGATCATTCATAAAATCATAATCATATTGCAGTTACCATTGAAAATGGTCTGAGTGAAGCTGCATCCATAGCCACCAATGGGTAACTCTTCAGCAAATGAGCCTTTATGAGACCAAACTGATTGTGTAGCTGAGGCTTTGTCAGATTCTTCATTCCTCTCAGGGAGCAAAGGGGCTTTTGATTCAACATCTAAATGACTTCCTCCTAAATTACTTCTGCTCGCTCTATAGAAACTGGGATTACTCCTCAGAGACCCGAAGATCGGTGATGCAGCAATCGTATATGAATCAGTCGTTTCCCTGAAAACAGAACCAATCAAGATTGCAGAATCACAAAAAGAGTTTCTCTGTTCATCATTACATGATCTCCCTTAATGTAATAAACCCAGAAGATGAACAGATGGGTATGAAAGATTCGAACTTTACGAAGAGAATGGTAGAAAATTACCGAAAGCTCTGAGGCCATTGAACCTGAGAAATGAAAGGTTCATCGTTGTCGTCGTCACGATCAGCATCGCCAGGAAGATCTCCGAGATCGCTCTGATCAGTTTCACTGTCGTTCTCGTACTTACTGCTCCCTTCTAGATCTTCGTTATCTTCATCGTCTTCGAACGTAAACACGGATTTTTTCTCCTTATCCTTGTTATTCTCTTCCATTTTCTTGAAACGAACCTCCCCACCGAGTAATCGATCTAGCGAGAGTAGTATCAAGAACCCAAGAGGATATAAATCTCACAGAAAAGGGGAAAAAAAATATAATATATTTGATTGAAGTTTTTGGAAACAGAGTGAGTGGGTTCGAGAAGTCTGCAGAGAGGTGGCGAAAGAGACCAATAACGAAGGCTGAGTTTTCGAGACGTCTGAGCACAATTGTCCGTTTTTTTCTTTTTAAGGATAATACTTTTATGATTTGATATTTGCTGTCTCGTTCGCGAGTTGATTGCCTTGTTATAAGGGCGGGAAGTGCTGACGTGGTGGTGATGATGATAGAGAGATCTTTATTAGAGAAGCAACGTTTTGATCGGTGACAAGTGTTGGCGTTTAAGACGGTTCGGTCTCTTTGTTCGGTCCGGATGGATGTGTTACCGTGTTTTAATCCTTTTTTCTTTTGTCATCAATGTGTTTTAAATTTAACCTATTGGCAAATTAAAAAAAAATATACATTATACGTTACCTTTACCATTATGGTAATTACTTTTTTGGTTTTTACTTTCTTTGACGAATGATTAACTATTTATGAATGTTGATGGATTGTTAGGCTTAGTACTTTGCTTAAAACTCATTCGTTGTTGTAAATCTAAATGTCCCGCAAGAGTCCAAAGAAGAAGATGCGAGTGACTCAAAGTCGACGAGGGAATGGGGTGTAAATGTCGTCGTGTCAGTTAACATTGAAATACATTATCTCCCTGTGCTCGGGCATGTGGATATTCTCCAAGTGTCTAGCTTTCATATGCGCATTTCCAATCTTATAATATATCCTTTTTGACACAATTATATATCTTTATTTTTTGGTCAATCATCTCCAATGTGGTTTTAAACGTAGTAGACATGTATATTAAAGATTATTTTGCAACACAGGAGAAATTATAAAACTTCTAAAGAGTTTAAAAACAAGCGCAGAACTATAGAAAAAAAAATGTGTAAATACCCTACCACATTTTGGCTTTCAAAAAAAGTATATATTGTGACCATATGTTATTTATCAAAAGAGTTATCGGGTTCCTATATCTCAGAATACAGTTAACAGTTGATCTTGAGATATAACTTACAACTAAGATTGAATTGCCAACAAAAAATGTTTTTTTTTTTTTTTGTATAATATATGAAATGAATGGATTCACACTTTTTGTACTTCTCCAGATCCTTATGTTAAACTGTCACGCTTCCGGTACGTGGCTTATAGATCAGGAAAGGCCAAGATACTGAGCCCACCTCACAAGTCACAAGGTCACATCTCCAGCATTTGTTTCTCAATATTATCCTTCGTACATTTGTTACAATATGCAAAACAATCAAAAGAAAGAAGAGAGTTATATTACACACACAACAATATGGGTCAAGCTCTCGATACCGGTTCGTCCTTTCTCTTTCTCCCACAAAATCACGCATTCTATTGATGTTCATTTATAAATTACACATCTTTTTTTTTTTTTTTTTGTTTCTTTTTGGATAGAGATTGAATACATTGTATATTTCGACTAAAAATATGTTTTTTTTTTTTTGTTGGGGTGCTAACTAAATTATGGAACGCAGCAAAAGGGAAAGGAGAGGTAGACGGGAAAGACTTGGAAGCTATGGTTGAAAATTGTTACCGCAAATGCTTTGAAGAACAAAATGACGATCAAGAATGGTCTTTCGCCGACTTCTACCGCATTGTCGCCGAAGCTGTCGAGTAATTTCTTTATTTATTCTTCTTACTGTCTTTAATTTTTTCAGAAATTTATATAAGCACGATATAAATCTACAACAATTAGTTAGATTTGGGTTAATATAATTAACGATTTTGGACACTACAACTTATTTAGCTTTGGGCCGGGAGATTTGTAAGTCAATGCTATATATAAAAAAAAAGATCATTACCACAAAAAAAAAAAAAAAAAAATGATAATGAGTATAGCCAAATAAGTCGGCATCAGTGTATTTTGATTATGGTATAATGATAATTACATGTGCACCTATTTTTTATTTGTGATGCGACAGAGAAATCAATAGAAGACTCGGTGGTACGCAAATTAAGGTGCCAAGTGTAGATCAATTACAAGACGCTTATAAGGTAAAAGTCGTCTAATCTCGATTTCTTTCTAGAGTTTTATTATTGTAATTATTTTTCTAAACGGCAAATATCATAAAATGAAAGAGTTTGGTTTATGCAAGCAAGTATGCAACCATTATAAAATTGGATTCTTGGCAAAAAAAAAGTTTAAAACAAGAATACAATAGGAAAACCTAGAAGGTAAAAGCATATCATTGAAGCCAAATCTTCATCAAATTTTGGAACTGCTTTTTGTTGTGCCTGCCCGAAATCATGTTCCTAATTGTGTTCCGAAAGCATACAGTTATTATCGTAAATTAATGGTATATGTTTTTGGATTTGGTAAAACTGGATTTAGAAATTTGTAAAAATTTACGTACGTACTCTCTTAATGTTTTCTAAATAAAACTCACTAACACAAAAAGAATATCCATTTATGTTAATGTATAACAGAAGAAACATGCATGGTAATTATAATTATGCAATCATACACATTAAAACTTGGTCATGGATTCTAATTTCTACAACTTGAATGCTTTTCCCAATTATGTTGAGTTGAGCTCAAGAACAAGAAGAAATAGAAATTGCGGTTCTCTTACCAAACTCTCTGCTACACTCAGAGTCTTAGACTTGGTTTACTCTAAAGTCTAAACCGAAATAAGATTACAATTGAATCTTAATGTTTTAAACCAATTGGTTTAATTGCTCTGATAAAAGTGTAATGATCTCCGTGTACACTTGAAATCGAGCAGATACACAATCTCGGGGAGGGGAAGAAGCTATCAAAGGATGAGTTTCAGAAGCTTCTTCAGGAGGTTTTGATCGGAGCTGGGTTCACCGGCGTTGGAGGAATCAAAGAGTTTCTTCTGTTCATCTTCGGAGTTCCTGTGCTCGCTGTCTTCCTCAAGAACCGTATAGCTCCGACGTCCATTACCAACGACGTTTTCATCCCAGCCGTCACCTCCGCCACCGTATTCCTCCTCGCCAAGCTCAACAAGATATGACTCTAATCGCTTGATCTTTTCGAGCTTTGCTTTGTTTGTTTTTTTTAAAAAAAAATTTGTACTGGGGATTGATTATGCGTGGTTGTGAAATACATGGAAAAGCTTAAAGTTTTAATCTTTGAGTTGATTTGCTAGAATGATTAAAGAGAAAGAAATGAACTTATGTTGTTCGACAGAATGCCTCACTGAGTTTAAGTTAACTAATTTAGATTGGGGAACTTTTTACTCGTATAAACTGGTCCAATTTAAAAATACGTTTCAATTTATTTTGTAAATAATAAATATATGTCTTTGTAATGGAGGGAAGCAAGGAGAAGCTAAATATAGAGAATTTGGGGGTCCTGCTTGTTTCTCTTAACTTTCAAGGCTTTCATTGGTTTGAGGACATGAACGAGTCCTTTCTTCGAATGTCAAAATTAGTTTTCAAAACTGATAAGAAAAGATGAAATCTCGGATACATTTCTTCCCTTTTAACTATTTTTTGGCCTTTGGCTTTTCTCTGTTTTTCTTTCTTTGGTTTGAAACATGGTCCAGAGAATCAATCATTCAATCCCATAATGCTGCATTTTGAATAAGCTCTTTTCCTTCTACTCAGTTACATTGAGATCACAGAAACTTGCAGAGGCAAAAGAAAATGACCAATGGGACATATGTTGTTGATTTCTTGGGTATTTGTACATCTTCAGGATTGTTATCGGGACATATCTTATGAGGGCATTCTAGGTACCGCTAGCATACAGGTTATTAGATAGAAGTTTCCTTTGTTAAAAAGATGAGCAAGGACCAGAGCTATGTTCTGAAAGCATGGGAGGTGACCGTGCGAAAGACCCAGCAAGCTAAGAAGCGGGCAAATAGCGTTTTTGGAACAGTATCGGTAGCACCACAAACGGATAACGATACTACAACTGATGAGAATGACGATGAGACCACCACTAATAGGAGCAGCATTGAGGAGTTCTACCATGCCGAGAGAGTGCTTCCCAATGGGGACTACTACACAGGACAATGGTATGATAATTTTCCTCATGGCCATGGAAAATACCTCTGGACAGATGGCTGCATGTACATTGGTGAGTGGTACAATGGGAAAACCATGGGGAGTGGAAAGTTCGGGTGGCCATCTGGTGCGACATACGAAGGAGAGTTTAAAAGTGGTTACATGGATGGTATTGGCACATACACAGGTCCGAGTGGAGACGCTTATAAAGGTCAATGGGTGATGAACCTGAAGCATGGTCATGGTGTCAAGAGTTTTGCAAATGGAGATGCCTATGATGGTGAATGGAGGAGAGGTTTGCAAGAAGGTCAAGGAAAGTACCAATGGAGTGATGGGAGCTATTACGTTGGCGAATGGAAGAATGGTACGATATGTGGCAAAGGGAGTTTTGTTTGGACAAATGGAAATAGATACGATGGGGTTTGGGATGAAGGGTTCCCCCGAGGGAATGGGACGTATAAATGGGACGATGGGAGTTTCTATGTTGGTCATTGGTCTAAGGATCCAGAGGAAATGAATGGTACTTATTACCCGTCAGGAAATGAAGGGAATCTTGATTGGGATCCTAAAGATTTGTTTAATAATTTGAGTGAGTACAGTATCTGCAGCGGAGAAAGGGTTCCAACTTTGCCTTCACAGAAGAAGCTATCTGTTTGGAATTCTTCCAAGCGTATAGAGAAGCCTAGGAGAATGTCTGTTGATGGAAGGGTAAGTGTTGGTGTAGATAGAGCGTTTGAGAAGATGAATATGTGGGGGAACGAAATCGGTGAGGGAGGTACTGATATGAGGAAGGAATTGGATGCAGAGTTGATGAGATTGGACGCTGAAGGCATTCAAAGCCTGAAGTCAAGCCCTGTGCCTATGAAACTTCCAAAAGCAGGAAGGAAGCAAGGGGAGACGATATCTAAAGGCCATCGCAATTACGACCTTATGCTTAATCTGCAGTTAGGAATCAGGTAAATTTGAGAGAGACTATGTGTCCTGAGTTTTAGAATTTGATCTTTGTTGGTATATATACACGTGGAGCAATGCTTTGTGGTTTTGGTGCCATTTTAGTGATTTTCTTTTCTGTAGGCATTCTGTTGGAAGACAAGCTCCAGCGGCATCTCTTGATCTGAAGCCTTCAGCTTTCGATCCAAAAGATAAGATATGGAGGAGGTTTCCACGTGAAGGAACCAAGTACACACCTCCACATCAATCTACTGAATTCAAATGGAAAGATTATTGCCCACTAGTTTTCAGGTCAGACCCAAAAATCCCTTTACCTAGTTCACCTTTATACAAATTTTGTCATATGCGTTAACATGTTTAGCTTATGATTTAATTTCCAGGAGCTTGAGGAAGCTATTCAAAGTAGACCCAGCTGATTACATGTTATCGATATGTGGGAATGATGCTCTTCGAGAACTATCATCCCCTGGTAAAAGTGGGAGCTTTTTTTATTTAACAAACGATGATCGTTACATGATAAAAACAATGAAGAAGTCGGAAACAAAAGTGAGTTCTTTTCAAATTACCGATTAGAAAGTGTTGGCTTGCTATTACCAAGATTTCAGACTGCATTTTACTGAAAGCATTTTCATTTTTGTTTTCTGAATGTAGGTGCTTCTGAGGATGCTTGCAGCATATTATAATCATGTTCGAGCATTTGAGAACTCTTTGGTAATCAGATTCTTTGGTCTACACTGTGTGAAATTGAATGGACCAACCCAAAAGAAGGTAGACTCAAACAGTTAACACTTCATGTGGCATGGCTTTGAAAAAAGTTGATTTGGATTCATATCTCTTGGTCTACATATAATGCAGGTGCGATTCGTTATTATGGGTAATCTGTTTTGTTCTAAGTACTCTGTTCACAGACGCTTTGATCTGAAAGGATCTTCTCTTGGTCGTACAACTGACAAACCCGAATCAGAAATTGATTCAAACACGATCTTAAAAGACCTCGACTTGAATTTCATCTTCAGATTGCAGAAAGTATGGTACCAAGAATTCATCAGGTCAAAAACCATTACACTCTACTCTTCAAAACTTTGTTTGCAGTTGCCCCATTTCTCATGGCTCATCTCTCACATTACAGGCAAATCGATAAAGACTGTGAGTTTCTAGAACAGGAGAGAATAATGGATTACAGTCTTCTAGTTGGTATTCATTTCAGAGAAGCTTCTGTCGCTGGAGAGCTGATTCCTTCTGGAGCTCGAACGCCTATTGGTTCGCATTTGTCAAATAATTTTTTTTTTTTTCATCAGCAAAACATTGAATAATAACTAGAGACAGAATGATTGTTTCCTAATCTACAGGTGAATCGGAAGAAGAATCAGGCCCTCGTCTTTCTAGAGCAGAGGTTGATCAGCTTCTTTCAGATCCTTCAAGGTAACACAACACAAGAGATCAATACCAACACATTCAAATCAAAACAGAAACACATAAACATGAATGTTGATATGTTTGTGTTGTTGCAGGTGGGCAAGTATTAGATTGGGGACCAACATGCCAGCGCGTGCAGAGAGAACAATGAGAAAAAACGACTGTGAGCTTCAGCTTGTGGGAGAACCTACAGGAGAGTTCTACGAAGTGGTGATGATATTTGGCATTATTGACATTCTTCAGGATTATGATATCAGCAAGAAGCTTGAACATGCGTACAAGAGCATACAGTATGACCCTTCTTCTATATCTGCAGTTGATCCAAGACAATACTCGAGGCGTTTCCGTGACTTTATCTTCAAGGTCTTCACAGATGACAATTGAGAAAGGTTCTATTGTCTCCTTGGTCTTTGGCTTTCTTGTGTCCCAAGAAAGAGGGATAGATATAATTTACATACAAAAAACTTTGGCAAGGGCTCTGCAAACCGACGACCTTGCAAGTATGAAGTATGACTCCCATTTTGTTTGTTTATTTCAATTAGTAGATCTTTGTGATTTTTGTATTAAACTTTGTAATCAGTTAAAAGCCATAGCAATGAATATTCTTATTCTTTTCATTCGGTGTAACCTTAAAAAAAAAAAAACATTCATAATAAAACAAACAAATTTAAGTTTTTGTCTGGTTTGATTTTCTTACTTATATCTTTGAAAGTTATTGCATCAGTATTATTTTGTTATTTTTTTTTTAGTTTTTTTTTTCTTTTTTCATTAATATGTTTCATAATTTCTACTTATATATATAACAGCTGAAAAAGAATTAAATTGGAGTTTTAAGATAATTTTTGTTTTATTTGATATTATTACAGAAAAAGTTGAAGTGGTGGTATTATAAAGTTTAGAATTCCAAATGTGATTAGATTATCCTAAAATGGTAACTAAGTATCTTTGATGCACCAACCAAAAGATTCGTTCGAAAACAAAAAAGATTCTGGAAAGAAATTATAGTTTTTTGCTCTCTCAAAAATTGAAACTTTCTTGGTCTGGTAATAGGATGCTGAACAAGAAGACATCCCAACTATCCAAGCAAAAAATTTATAAAAAGAAAGATACACAAATTAGGGCAATGTAGTTACGTAGGTGATGATGATATCTTTTGTTTTCTTCAATAAAGAAATACATATAAGACTAGTATAAAAGATTCCAATAATTGTTCCCAAGTCTCTAACTATTGCTGTTGTTGTTGTTGTCGTTTTCTGTGGTGAAATTAAGAGAAGAATCTCTTGTTTTCTTCTCCCCATTTGTCTACCCACATTAAACTATATAGTATACAATTAAAAAAACTACATAGTATACAATTAAATTTGCGACTGTTTAAACTCTAAATAATAAAAGTTTTACAACCCAATAATAAGTGATTACTTTACGAATTAGACCAAGCACTTGCCATTACTTTTATTCATTCGTTTAATCGTTTCTAGTAGTATCTGTAAAGACACACACATGCGTCACCAAACGCACCGCTAAATCTTAAAGACGCGATCGCGGTTGAAGACAGAAGCGAGCAAATAAAAACACTCCCATCATCACCTTTACAACAACAACAACAGCAACCAAAAACAGCGACGGCGATTCGAGTCCTTCGTAGTCGTCGTGCTCACTGATCGATCATCACTTAGCTCGTGCCGTGATCTGTAACAACACCACCCTTTTCGGTTTTTTCCTTTCTCAGCGATTCCGGTGCACCGTACACT